CTGACAAAATAAAGTGAAGATCACTGAAACAAATGGAAAGATACCACATGCTCATGGATTGGGAGAATAAATATTGTTTGTTTGTTTTTTGAGAATAAATATTGTTAAAATGTTCCTATTACCAAAAAAAAAAAAAGTTCCTATTACCTAAAGCAATCTACACATTTAATGCAATTCCTATTAAAATACCAACAGCATTTTTTTTAAAGATTTTATTTATTTATTCATGAGAAACACACAGAGAGAGAGAGGCAGAGATACGGGCAGAGGGAGAAATTGAATCAGGGGCTCAATCCCGGATTCTGGGATCAGGACATGAGCCAAAGCCAGACGTTCAACCACTGAGCCACCCAGGCGTCCCCCCAACAGCGTTTTTCACAGAACTAGAACAAATAATCCTAAAATTTGTATGGCACCACAAAAGACTCCAAGTAGCCAAAGCAATCTTGGAAAAGAAGGATAAAAATGGAGGTATCACAATCACAGATTTCAAGATATACTACACAGCTCTAGTAATCAAAACATTATGGTACTGGCAGAATAATAGACACATAGATCAATGGAACAGAATAGAGAGCTCAGAAATAAACCCACTACTATACAGTCAATTAATCTTCAACTCAGGAAGCAAAAATATCCAAAGAGAAAGACTTTTTTTTAACAAATGGTGTTGGTGGGATGCCTGGGTGGCTCAGTGGTTGAGTGTCTGCCTGTGGCTCAGGGCATGATCCTGGAGTTCCGGGTTCGGGATCGAGTCCCACATTGGGTTTCCTGATAAAATCTTTGAAGAAAAAAAAAATGGTGTTGGGACACCTGGGTGGCTCAGTGGTTGAGCATCTGCCTTTGGCTCAGGGCATGATCCCGGAATCCAGGATTGAGTCCTGCATCGGGCTCCTTGCAGGAAGCATGCTTCTCCCTCTGCCTGTGACTCTGCCTCTCTCTGTGTGTCTCTCATGAATAAATAAATAAAATCTTAAAAAAAAAAAGGTGTTAGGAAAACTGGACAAGTATATGCAAAACAATGATCACTTTCTTGCACCATATGCAAAAATAAACTCAAAATGGATGAAAGACCTAAATGGAAGACCTGAAATAAAAATCCTAGAGGAGAGCACAGTAGTAATTTCTCTGACTTTGGTCATAGCAACATTTTTCTAGATATGTCTCCTAATGCAAGGGAAGCAAAAACAAAAATAAATAATTTTGCTTGGACTACATCCAAGCAAAATGTTTCTGCAAAGCAAAGCAAACAATAAAGGGTTAGTATCTAAAATATATAAAGAACTTCTATAACTCAACACCAAAACCCAAATAATTTAGTTAAAAAATGGGCAGAAGACACGAACAGACATTTTTCCAAAGAAGACATCCGACTGGCCAATGGGCCCATAAAAGGCTGCTCAACATCACTCATCATCAGGGAAATGAAAATCAAAAAACTACAATGAGTTTCACCTTACACCTGTCAGAACGGCTAAATTAAAAAACACAAGAAACAACAAGTGTTGGTGAGGATATGGAGGAACAGGATCCCTTGTGCACTGTTGGTGGGACTGCAAGCTGGCAAGGTGATATATATATATCTCCAAAGGAATATTATTCAGCCATAAAAAAGAATGAAATCATGACACATGCAATAATATGAATGGATCTAGAGAGTATATTGCCAAGTGATATTGGTAGAGAAAGACAAATACCATATGATTTCACTTTTATGTGGATCTTAAGAAAGAAAACAATGAAACAGAAAACAAGACTCTTAAATATAGAGAATGAACATGGTTACCAGATGGGAGATGGTGGGAAAGCTGAAGAGGATTGAGAGTACACTTATCATGATGAGCACTGAGAATTGTGTAGAGTTGTTGAATCACTATATTGTCCATGTGAAACAATTATATTGGAATGGGGGGGTTGATATCTCCAATGTCTAAAATTGTGAAAAGATCAACACATAGTCCATACAAAAAAATAGTATTAATCAGAGCAAGAAATAAGACTAGTCTAAATGGGCAAAACATGAGTGGTCAATGGAAGGGGGAACCTAAGTGGCCATTAGACATATGAAAAGATAAGCACACTTAAATTTAGAAATTCATGCCAAGTACAACTGTCTTTACAGAACACATAATAGAGTGTAAAGATGAGGGGATCCCTGGGTGGCGCAGCGGCTTAGCGCCTGCCTTTGGCCCAGGGCGCGATCCTGGAGACCCGGGATCGAATCCCACGTCGGGCTCCCGGTGCATAGATCCTGCTTCTCCCTCTGCCTGTGTCTCTGCCTCTCTCTCTCTCACTGTGTGCCTATCATAAATAAATAAAAATTCAAAAAAAAAATAGAGTGTAAAGATGATTCTAACTCCTCTGAAAACTTTACTAGAACTGAACTCACAAATGTAGACATAAATAGCCCTGAGATAATATTAATAATGTTCAGCAGTGTATAAAATGTACTGTATACCATAATCAAGAGAAAGAGGGATCCCTGGGTGGCGCAGTGGTTTGGCGCCTGCCTTTGGCCCAGGGCGCGATCCTGGAGACCCAGGATCGAATCCCACATCGGGCTCCCAGTGCATGGAGCCTGCTTCTCCCTCTGCCTATGTCTCTGCCTCTCTCTCTCTCTCTCTCTCTGTGTGTGACTATCATAAATAAATAAAAATAAAAAAAAAGACTCCTTTCTATAAGGAGAGTTTAAAAAAAAAAAAAGATACTCCAGTGGTGCCAGGTTGCTTTAATATTATGAAAAGAAACAATGTTATCTAACATGAGCTGCTTAAAGAAGAAAGCGTATCAATTTGTGCAGAAAAATCACTAGCATAAATGAATGTAATAGTGCTATGTATAGGTTCTATCCCTTTACATATATGTATAAGACATGTATAAGAACTCATGTAAGATGTAGATATAGATGTGTGTGAACTGTAGTCTGTATGTCAAAAATATGTAGAACACAAAAATTGAATGATGAAAATTTTACAGATCAATTCTATAGCATCACGTAGTAAAATTCTTAGGAATGAATATAATGAAATCTGTTTAAGTTCTTCCCTTAGGGACACCTGGATGGCTCAGCAGTTAAGGTTCTGCCTTCAGCTCAGGGTATGGTCTTGGAGTCCCGGGATCAAGTCCCACATAGGGCTCCCTGCATAGAGCCTGCTTCTCCCTCTGCTTAAGTCTCTCCCTCTCTCTCTGTGTGTCTCTCATGAATAAATAAAATATTTTAATAATATATTTTTAAAAACAAGTTCTTCCTTTAACACTCATTTCCAAATACCTTATTGAAAACCACAAAGTTGGGGATCCCTGGGTGGCTCAGCGGTTTAGCGCTTGCCTTTGGCCCAGGGCGTGATCCTAGAGTCCCGGGATCGAGTCCAGAGTCAGGCTACCTGCATGGAGCCTGCTTCTCCCTCCTGTATCTCTGCCTCTCTCTCTATGTCTATCATAAATAAATAAATAAATCTTAAAAAAAAGAAAAGAAAACCACAAAGTTGTGCTCACTTCGGCAGCACATATACTAAAATTGGAAAACCACAAAGTTGTCTGAATATTACTGAAAACTTCATTGTTGAAACCTACAAACACTTCTGCTGAGAGAAGTTGAAGGTGTCCTAAATAAATAGTATGATATTTTCCATAGAACTCAGTGGCTTAACTGTTTCTCCCTAGAAGTGTATAGTATCTCCTTAGTCTTCAGTATTAAGGAATACTGTCCTATTGGACACGGAATCTGGTGACAGTCAGGAATTTAGTCTGAGCTTCCATTGACTACACAGATCTATCTGAGGCCCAGTTTACCTTAGTGTGACAGTTGGAGAGGTTTGGGGGGGGGGGGAGTTTCTAGTTCCCACAGGAGATGACCACTTGGAACCCTCTGAATCGAGAGTGCAGGCTAAAAGGATGTGGGTGATCCACAATTGCTTTCTTTCCTCCATTGTGATGGGTTTGAAGTAGTATTGGGAGAGTGACCAGAGGATAGCATATAATTCCTCAGACAACAATCCCAACCACCCTGTGTTTTGTATACTACTATTTTCCCTCACATCAGCAATAAGGAAATGGAGGCATAGAGAGGTGAGGCTTCCTGTCCAAGGAACCAGAATCAGTAATGGGGTTACTTGCTGTAAACCCAGGTAGCTTCCCTCTAGAGCTCAGGCCCAGAAGTCAGATGCCATCTGCCAGATTCCATTTTCAGTTTGAACCCAAACACCATGTGGTTGGTTATAATTCAAGCTCAATGTTTGTGAATTTGAACATAAAACACAGTAGAAATGTGCTACAAAATTTGAAATGAAGTCCACCCTAAGCTGCTATTTAGTCCTGAGGAAAAAATATTTCTTAAATTGTAAATCTTGAGTCATCTTGCTTAGAAAAACATCTTAATTTTATCCTAGTGAAGCCCATTTTGGATTTATAATCTTTACAAGTATAAGAAGATAAATTTGTTGACTTAAGCCACAAAGCTGCTAATGATTTGTTACAGCAGCTATGGGAAACTAGTAGTGTGCAGCAGAGAATTGAAAGAAGGCTGAGGGTACCTGAAATATGCATGTAGTTCTGGGTGCCTGCAATTGAAGAAAAGGTCCAAATGGGGAGACCTTCTGGCAGGAATGGAGGCTTTCCTTTGGCAATTAGGGCAAGATGGGATCCTGGGTGTATTGACAAGTGTTCTCTCCACGTTGTATGCAGAGTGACATGTGAGGAGACTGGTGTGATGTCTGTGGTGTGAGAAGAGTCACGGTAGGTAGCTGAAACTATGAGGGAGGTGTGGTCTGACAAGTGATCTGCACGAGAGGAGTGTAAACTGATGGTCCTGCATCCCCATTCTTGGAGGCTTCCATGAGAATAGTGAGCCCAGGTTTATGTCTAGGGGGTATGATTTAGGGTACCCCGGGGGGATTGGCTGGCAAGTAGGGAGTGGGTGAGCATGACATTGTTATGGGTGGATAGAGTGGGGATACTCAGTCAAGAAACTTCCCTGGACCTTGCTGGCCATGTCATTGCAGGGCTGTGTGATCTCTGAGGACGTGTTTGTGTACTTCTCCTGGGAAGAATGGATGCTCCTTGATGATTCTCAGAGACTTTTATATCAGGATGTGATGCTGGAGAACTTTGCACTTTTAGCCTCACTGGGTAAGGTCTGCATGCCAATACCATCTGCTTTCTCTTTTTTCTCCAGAGACTGCTCTGTCCTTCCCATGGTCAGATCATAGGCACTGCTTCCTTACCTGATCTACCGGGGTAGATGCTATGGGTGTCAGGAGTGTTCTCACCTCTTAGCTAGCCAGTCCTAAAGCCATGCAGCAAAGGAATTGGGAGTTACAAGGTGTGGTTTGCCCAGTCAATCCCACAGTCTTGGTCATTTTCAAGCCTGTTGAATCTGTCCAGAATTAGGGCACCTCTGTGCTTAAGGTTCTGCTCCCTTTCTCCAGGTGACATTTTCTGGGACTTAATTTTTTTTTTTAAGATTTTATTTATTTATTCATGAGAGACACAGAGAGGGGGAGACATAGGAAGAGGGAGGAGAAGCAGGCTCCATGCAGAGAGCCCAATGTGAGACTTGATCCTGGGACTCCAGGATCATGCCCTGAGCCAAAGGCAGATGCTCAACCACTAAGCCACTCAAGTGTCCCATCTGGAACTTAATTGTACCAGGAGTTACAGGCACTCACATAGTCACTACTTAAGGGGACCTTTGTGCTATTTCTCCAAAACCTTCAAGGTTTTTTTAAAAAAAATTTAAAAGACTTTATTCATTTTAGAGAGAGAAACAGAGAGAGCATGAGCAGGGAGAAGGGGTAGAGGGAGAGAGAGATAGAGAGAGAGAGAGAGAGAGAGAGAGAGAGAGAATACCAAGCAGGTTCCACACTGAATGCAGGGCCCTATGATCCCATGACCCTGAATCATGATCTGAGTCAAAACCAAGAGGCAGACATTCAACCAACTAGCCACCCAGTTGGCACCGCCCCCCCGCCAAGGTTTTTTTTTTTTTTTGTAATTTTTTTTTTTATGAATTAATTTTTATTGGTGTTCAATTTACCAACATACAGAATAACACCCAGTGCTCATCCCGTCAAGTGTACCCCTCAGTGCCCGTCACCCATTCACCCCCACCCCCCACCCTCCTCCCCCTCCACCACCCCTAGTTCATTTCCCAGAGTTAGAAGTCTTTATGTTCTGTCTCCCTTTCTGATATTTCTCACACATTTCTTCTCCCTTCCCTTATATTCCCTTTCGCTATTATTCATATTCCCCAAATGAATGAGAACATACACTGTTTGTCCTTCTCCGGTTATTGTGGCCAAGTTCAAAAAGGGTGTTGCCTGAGTTCTTCTCTGGGATTTTGATGGAATCTTGTCTCACATTTAGATCTTTCATCCATTTTGAGTTTATCTTTGTGTATGGTGCATGAGAGTGGTCCAGTTTCATTCTTCTGCATGTGGATGTCCAATTTTCCCAGCACCATTTATTGAAGAGACTGTCTTTCTTCCAGTGGATCGTCTTTCCTCCTTTATCATATATTAGTTGAGCATAAAGTTCAGGGTCCACTTCTGGGTTCTCTGTTCTGTTCCATTGATCTATATGTCTGTTTTTGTGCCAGTACCACACTGTCTTGATGAACACAGCTTTGTAGTACAACCTGAAATCTGGCATTGTGATGCCCCCAGATATGGTTTTCTTTTTTTAAAATTCCCCTGGCTGTTTGGGGTCTTTTCTGATTCCACACAAATCTTAAAATAATTTGTTCTAAGTCTCTGAAGAAAGTCCATGGTATTTTGATAGGGATTGCATTATACGTGTAAATTGCCCTGGGTAACATTGACATTTTCACAATATTAATTCTGCCAATCCATGAGCATGGAATATTTTTCCATCTCTTTGTGTCTTCCTCAATTTCTTTCAGAAGTGTTCTGTAGTTTTTAGGGTATATTTTGAGAACCATTTGAATGGTAAATGGTTCTCCAACCTTTTATTTTCAGGTTGTAGGTGTCCTTCTGTCTAAAATGAGTCTCTTGTAGACAGCAAATAGATGGGTCCTGTTTTTTTATCCAGTCTGAAACTCTGCGCCTTTTGATGGGGTCATTAAGCCCATTCACGTTCAGAGTTACTTGAACTTCTTCTTAAAGGGGAGTTTTAAGAGTCCCCCTTAAAATTTCTTGCAGAGCTGGTTTGGAGGTCACATATTCTTTCAGTTCCTGCCTGTCTTGGAAGCTCTTTATCTCTCCTTCCATTTTGAATGAGAGCCTTGCTGGATAAAGTATTCTTGGTTGCATGTTCTTCTCATTTAGGACCCTGAATATATCCTGCCAGCCCTTTCTGGCCTGCCAGGTCTCTGTGGAGAGGTCTGCTGTTACCCTAATATTCCTCCCCATGAAAGTCAGGGACTTCTTGTCTCTTGCTGCTTTAAGGATCTTCTCTTTATCTTTGGAATTTGCAAGCTTCACTATTAGATGTCGAGGTGTTGAACGGTTTTTATTGATTTTAGGGGGGGATCTCTCTATTTCCTGGATCTGAATGCCTGTTTCCCTTCCCAGATTGGGAAAGTTTTCAGCTAGGATTTGTTCAAATACATATTCTGGCCCTCTGTCCCTTTCGGCGCCCTCGGGAACCCCAATTAAACGTAGGTTTTTCTTCCTTAGAGTGTCGTTCATTTCCCTTAATCTGTCTTCATGGTTCTTTAATTGTTTATCTCTTTTTTCCTCAGTTTCCCTCTTTGCCATTAACTTGTCTTCTATGTCACTCACTCGTTCTTCCACCTCGTTAACCCTCGTCGTTAGGACTTCTAGTTTGGATTGCATCTCATTCAATTGATTTTTAATTTCTGCCTGATTGGATCTAAATTCTGCAGTCATGAAGTCTCGTGAGGCCTTAATGCTTTTTTCTAGAGCCACCAGTAGCTGTATAATGGTGCTTCTGAATTGGCTTTCTGACATTGAAGTGTAATCCAGATTTTGTAACTCTGTGGGAGAGAGGGCTGTTTCTGATTCTTTCTTTTGAAGTGAGGTTTTCCTTCTAGTCATTTTGCTCAGTGCAGAGTGGCCAAAAACAAGTTGTATTGGAACACGGGGGAGTATCACTGGTCCGTCTAGCTGGTCTTCTGGGGGAGGGGCCTGCTGTGCTGATTTTCAGGTGTCAGCACTTGGGGGAGCTGCTCTGCCCCTGCCTGCTGCAGGGCTCAGCGGGGGTTGTTTACCCCGTGGGACCCAGGGAGGAACAGCAGCAGTTGCTATGGCAACTCTGGAAGCCTGGATTCAGCCTCCGCAGGAACTACGGGGCTCGGGGCTCTCGGCTCTCCGTCCGCAGGGCCTGGAGGCTCCGGGGCGGGGCCGCTGATCTGCTCAGCTCGGGGCAGGAGCGTCCTTGCTGTCCTGGGCCCTCCCGGCCTCTGCCTGTCCCAGGGGGAGGCCGGATCCTGGGCTGTGTCCCGGCGCCCTGTGCTCCGGGGCCTGCGCTGTGGGATTCGCGCTCCCGCCCCGCAGCCCCCTCCCTGGAGCCGCTCCCGAGCCCCTCCGAGCTGCTCCGGTCAGTCCCTCCGTGCGCGCTGCAGCCCTTAGGGAGCTCGGCGCACTCCCCGGGGCGCAGGTGTCTGTTAGTGTCCCAGGGAGCCCGAGGGCATCCCCGCCCTCCTGGGTCCTGCTCCAACTCCCTGCGAGCCCCTTTCCGCCCGCCCGGGAAGGTTGGTGCAGCTCCTGCTCCTCCGGGACGGGGCTCTCCTGTCCTGGGGACACTCGCCCCGGCCTCAGCCCGGCTCCTCGCGGGGCCCCTCCCCCTCGGAGGCCTTTTGTTTCTTTATTTCTTTTTCCCCGTCTTCCTACCTTGATAGAAGCGCGGACTCTTCTCACTGTAGCATTCCAGCTGGTCTCTCTTTACATCTCAGGCCGAATTCGTAGATTTTCAGGATGGTTTGAAGGTTATCTAGGTAACTTGGTGGGGACAGGTGATTTGGGGACCCTGCTCTTCCGCCATCTTGCCCCTCCCTTGTTCTGTAATTTTTTTTTTAATTTTTATTTATTTATGACAGTCACAGAGAGAGAGAGGCAGAGACACAGGCAGAGGGAGAAGCAGGCTCCATGCACCGGGAGCCCGACGCGGGATTCGATCCTGGGTCTCCAGGATCGCGCCCTGGGCCAAAGGCAGGCACCAAACCGCTGCGCCACCCAGGGATCCCTGTAATTTTTTTTTTAAACTTATGAGAGTGTCATAGGATGCATTGTTCAGTGTTGTAGGATGCTCACCTGTCCTATGTCTCCCTTAGGAATTGCATCCTCACGATCTCACTTAGTCACTCAACTGAACCCAAGGGAAGATCCCCAGATGCCTGAACAGGTGAATATGAACCCAGCCACAGAGAGAGAGGCTCAGAAGGGACCTGGACCTGGTGAGTAGATATGAGGAAAGGGGATGATATCAAGATTGGATTCAAAACTAGCTATATTAACTTTTCACACCAGTGTTCAGCTTCAAGGCTGGTGGCTACACAAAATTTCTACCCATCTTTCTCCATTCTTGACATTGCAGCTTATCTCCTGTCTGACTTCTAGCCGCTTGCCATCTTCCATCAGCCCTATACCCAGGCCACACTCCTGCTCAGTCTACATTGTTCTCCAGTATTGGCCTATACTTAATATGTCGTGAGATGCACACATATCCCTAAATAATCCTTGAGCACCAGCTATACACTTGTAAGTGGACCTTCCTGGGCCTGCACCTGCCCTTCTGCATAGCACTTGCCCTTCTGCATAGCACTTGCCGGTCTTCACAGCCAGATACCTACTGGAAGCCACTTGCTGTACTCTATCCCCATATCCCTGTCTTCAGGAGGCCCCTTTCATTCAGTGACCTTCAGAGACCCAGTTCTGCATTGCATCTCCTTCCTCAACCCATCCCTAGCTCTCTTGTCCTATAAACAGTCCCTCTGATGTGTTCCTGGGTGTGTCATACACACATTGACAACAGGATTGCCCCTCCACAGAAGTCTAACGTGCACATCAGCAGTACTTGTCTGCTTTCAGGTTGTCGGTGTGCAGTGGAGGACGAGCAGAGTGTTTCTTTAGAGGGAATGTCACAGGTCAGGACTCCTGTGGCCAGTCTGAAGACCCACCCATGTGGCGGATCTGGCTCCAGACTGAGAGGAATCTTACACCTGCCTGAACATGAGGTGGGAGAAGCGGGGCTGAAACCACAGCCATGTGGGGCAAGTTGGAAACACTTCTGGCTCAGTGCGAATCTTCATCAGCGCCACACTGGAGAGAAATCCTTCAGAGGGGGTGAAGGCAGGGATTCCATGAAAAGCCACCAATTCTGTGTACCAGAGAAGACCTTTGTGTATGGTGAGGGTAGAGTGGGCTTTCCAGCCACCTCCAGCCTTCCCCTGCACCAAGTTCCCCATGTGAGCCCTAAGCCCCACAAGAGCACCAGGCTTGGGGGAGCCCTCCACTCTAGACAGCAGCAGCAGCACAGGTGCATCGAATGTGGGAAATTATTCACCCGCAAGGACACACTTACTCGGCACCAGAGAATCCACACTGGAGAAAGGCCTTATGCATGCAGCAAATGTGGGAAGTTCTTTAGTCAGAGCTGTGACCTCTTTAAACACAAGACCATCCACACTGGAGAAAGGCCTTATGAATGCAGTGAATGTGGGAAGTTCTTTCGACAAATCTCTGGCCTTATCGAACACAGGCGAGTTCACACTGGAGAAAGACTCTATCAGTGCAGTAATTGTGGAAAATTCTTTAGTAGTAAGTCTAACCTCATTAGACACCAAGAAGTTCACACAGGAGCAAGGCCTTATGTATGTAGCACGTGTGGGAAAGAGTTCAGTCGCAAACATACACTTGTTCTGCACCAGAGAACTCACACTGGAGAAAGGCCTTATGAGTGTAGTGAATGTGGGAAGGCCTTCAGCCAGAGTTCCCACCTCAATGTACATTGGAGAATTCACAGCAGTGATTATGAGTGCAGCAGATGTGGGAAAGCCTTTAGCTGCATCTCTAAACTTGTTCAGCACCAGAAGGTTCACTCTGGAGAAAACCCTTATGAGTGCAGCAGATGTGGGAAAGCCTTTACCCAAAGGCCAAATCTTATTCGGCACTGGAAAGTTCATACTGGTGAACGGCCTTATGTGTGCAGCAAATGTGGAAAAGAGTTCAACCGTAAACACACACTTGTTCTCCACCAGAAGATTCATACTGGAGAAAAGCCTTAATACTACATCAGATATGGGAAATCCTTTAGCCAGTGCCCCCAACTTACTGTTCCCTTGAGAATTCCTAGCAGTGATTATGGGTGCTAAGAACATAAGACAGCCTTTACCCAAAGACCAGATGTTATTCAGCCCTGAAAAGTCCACACTGGAGAAAGGCTGTAGCGGTACAGGGAAGGTGCCATCTCCTTATTCAGCCCACTAGCTCTCCCCAGAGTGAAGTTCTGAGAGTATGCCATCATTTAAAAGTAGTACCTCATAGACACAAACATCTGTGCTAGGGAGATTACTTGTGAGTGCCTGCTATGTCTGGTACTTTCAGGAGCTGTGTTGTACATTGTAAACTGCTGAGTCCCTTTGCCAGTGGCAAGAGCTGTCCTGCTGTTACCATCTGGGGGAGTCTCCGAGTGCGTGTCAGTCACTCTGGCATGCTCAGGCAGGCAGACTTCTTTGCTATCTCCACAGGCTTTATAAGGAGTCGTGATTGGCCTCCGTGTCCCATGCCCCCTTCTGTCCGAGTTAGGCATGGAAAGAATCAGCACACAGGATGGGTTTTCCAGGTAGCTTGCAAAGGTTGCTTTTCATGGACTTTTTCATTTGCCCCCCTCTGTCTGAGTTAGTCATGGAAAGAATCAGCACACAAGATGCGTTTTCCAGGTAGCTTGCAAAGGTTGATTTTCATGGACTTTTTCATCTTGTGTGAGACTTTTGTGGATGTATACAGTCTCATGTCCTCTAGCCTTGGAACCACATGCCTCACATCACTCATGTTTCAACAATAATGAAGTACTTATTCTTTGAGCTATTTTTAATCTGGAAGGTCCTGCTCGTTGTGTGTAGTGTTGAGAACACAGTTGTATTCTAACAACATGAAAGGATAAAGTTGTAAGAGTCCTCAGTTTTCCATGTCTCAAAGAAGAGACTATGATGGCAGAAAAAAGCTCTCACTCCAGGTTTGGCCTAATTTGTGTTGCTACCCAAGGTCTTTTAGGAAAGACTTAGGAGCTTTGTGAGGCCTATCATGACAGCCTGAGTGCTAGTTTAATTTGTGGGTCCATAAGTAACTATGTGGAGATGTGGTTGTGACAATCTCCAGTGCATCTGGAAGCAGAATGAGTTTGGTCCCTTTTCCCCTGGACTGTTCATATCACCAAGTACTGTTAAAAGGAGACTGGCCTCTGGTACCTGACAGGGAGCCTGAGTTCAGAATTCAGTAGACAGATGTCACTGGTGGGAAAACCTACAGGAGCCAGGTGGGAACTATAATGGATACAGAAACCAAAGTGTGACTAATAAGGAGTTAGAGACATTGCAGCACAGTAGAAGGTACTGTGAAAGGTACCTGCTCACAGTATTCCCATACTGTGGTGAACAGGATGAGAAGAGTACAGAAATTTTCAGGACTTCCAGAGCTATGTCTCCTGTGGCCAAGATCACTTGCAGGCAAATAATCTAAATATTTTGTGGATTCCCTTCAACTCGAGATGCCTCAGGTCAGAACTATTTCTATGCTAGCAGGAAACTGGGTGACAGAAAGGAGATCTGGGATTCTAGGGATGTAGTTTTTGTGACTTATTCAATGTTCTTAGTAACTCATATAGAAACCGCTTTCATTAGTTGCCAATTTATGCTGCCACTGAGGCAGGACTACTCCCAAGATGCTAGGACAGAGATGATGGAGTAAACAGGGTTGCCTATGGGATTTAATTTGTCTTTTTCCTATTTTCCTAAGGAGGACTCTTCTTTATTTGAGAACTCTCTTCTAACATAGTCATTTTGTAAGTTTCCCTGTAATTCCTATGTTAGCAGCATTCCCCACATTTTGATATATTGTGCCTTTGTTTCTAGAATTGGTTTAAAATTGCACTAAAAAGGGCAGCCCTGGTGGCCCAGTGGTTTAGCGCCACCTTCAGCCTGGGATGTGATCCTGGAGACCCAGGATCAAGTCCCACATCGGATTCCCTGCGTGGAGCCTGCTTCTCCCTCTGCCTGTGTCTCTGCCTCTTTCTCTCTGTCTGTGTCTGTCATGAATAAATAAATACAATCTTAAAAATAAAATAAAATAAAATTGCACTAAAAAATTTCTAGCTTTATTTCTAGTGACTTCTGAGTATCTGGCTTTGACACTCTGTTAAGATAAGGCCCGTGGGATTTATTATTTTTTTTAAAGATTTTTTTAAATTTATTTATTCAGAGAGAGAGAGAGAGAGAGACTGAGAGGCAGAGACACAGGCAGAGGGAGAAGCGGGCTCCATGCAGAGAGCCCGACGCCAGACTCGATCCCGGGTCTCCAGAATCACACCCCGGGCTGCAGGCGGCGCTAAACCGCTGCGCCACCAGGGGTGCCTGGCCCATGGGATTTATTATGTATTGTTTAATATCCAAAAATTGGGCAGCCCGGGTGGATCAGCGGTTTAGTGCCACCTTCAGCCTGGGGCGTGATTCTGGAGACCCAGGATTGGGTCCCACATTGGGCTCCTTGCATGGAGCCTGCTTCTCCCTCTGCCTGTGTCTCTGCCTTTCTCTCTCTCTCTCTGTGTCTCTCAAGAATAAATAAATAAAATCTTTTAAAAATAATAATAATAATATCCAAAAATTTCCTGACCATACCAAGTCCCAGTTTGTTTTGCTGATGGTTTCCAACTGGCATAATGGTTAGATAGTCCAGCTTGACTGTATTACCAGAAATACATAAAAACTCCTACTGGGATCTTCTGACTCTCTGGAAGCCAGGGTTCATCACTCACATATTTGTGGCTTAATCTGGGAGTGAATCACACAAGAATGTGTGAATAAGAATCTGGGAAACTGCCTGGATATTTGAATCCAATATGGTCCTGCATTTTCTTTCTCTTGCTATGTTACATCCTTTGCTTTTAAGAAAACCTCACATGAATATGTTCTGTGGAGTCTTGCAAGTATTTTAATTACAGTACTTGTGAGACATTTGCAGTTGGTGATGAGGATGGGATATTTGATACAACCCTTGATTCTAGTTCAAATAATAATGCCTAAGAGGAGACTGCCTGACTGGCTCACTGGTAGAGCATGTGACTCTTGATCTCAGGGATCGTGAGTTCAAGCCCCCTTCCCCCCCATTGAGTGTGGAGCCTACTTTTTAAAAAATGATGTATTGCACAGGAAGAAAGATGACAGAGGCTGATACGGAAGGATTTTTGTCAAAAGGTTGGTTTCCAGACCATCCTTGGGTTCCATATGCAGAAATGCTGCACCCAGAAAGAGGAGGAAAAACGTTAAGTGACAACTGGAGTTTGTAGGTCCATGCTAAATAGATTGTAAATCAAATACAAACAGAGGATGTCAGCCAAGAGTGTGGTTCCTTGGCTGTACCCCCCCACCACCACTTATTCTAGTAAAAATAAAAGCATCAGAGAGGCAGCTAGAGGCTCTCAAAGCTGTAGATTACAACCTGTGGTTCAGTATGATACCATATCTTCTATCGCCATCCCTCTGAGCCAGCTGATGATTGCCACAATAAAAGGGGAGACATATGTGAGGCATGATGCTATGCATCTCTTTGTTCAACTCTCTTGGGGTTTAATGTTGGGAGAAAGATAAGGATTCTTCAGAAAAAAGGTAACTATTAATAAAAGACATGGAAGCAATCTCAGAATAACTGAATTAGATAAAGATGTTCAGGTGGTAAATTAAAAGTGACATCTTTTAAAAGGAGAAGGTAGGGATCCCTGGGTGGCTCAGCGGTTTGGCACCTGCCTTTGGCCCAGGACACGATCCTGGAGTCCTGGGATCGAGTCCTGCGTTGGGCTCCCAGCATGGAGCCTGCTTCTCCCTCCTCCTGTGTCTCTACCTCTCTCTCTCTCTCTCTCTCTCTCTATGTCTATCATAAATAAATAAATCTTTTAAATAAATATTAAAAAGAGAAGGTAGATGGAATAGTTTCTAAAATTTTAATGGATCACTGTAAGAAACTGGTAATCTGTTCAAAGTACTGGGACAAATTCTCCCAATTCATCTTAGTCATAATGAACTTTTAAAATGTTAAGACTAGAGGATCCCTGGGTGGCTCAGTGGTTTAGCACCTGCCTTCGGCCCAAGATGTGATCCTGGAGTCCCGGGATCAAGTCCTACATTGGGCTCCCTGCATGGAGCCTGCTTCTCCCACTGCCTGTGTCTCAGCCTCTCTCTCTCTCTCTCTCTCTCTCTCTCTCTCTCTATATATATATATATATATATATATATATATATATATATATATATAATGAATAAATAAAATCTTTAATAAAATAAAATATTAAGACTACAAAAAAGAGGCTTCTATAATCCTCTCAGAACCTATTCTGATTATAACCAGGCAAGGAAATGCAGAAGATTATGACTAAGAGATGGGAAGGTCAGGGTCTCATGACCTTGCAGAAGGGACCCCAAGTCTACTTTGAATCATATTGGTAACATGGCTTGAGGGCAGTAAAAAAAAATATACAATTACTAGACTTGATGATCTATGTATTGTTACAACTTAAAAGTCAAATGAAAATTGAGAGGGAAATATCATAGGAATGTTATTCTATAGGAGGCTTACAGGTGAGAGTAAAGTCCACAAAGGAATTTCTGGACAGAAACCATGTATGAGGGATGCCTGGGTGGCTCAGCGGTTGAGCATCTGTCTGCCTTTGGCTCGGGTTGTGATCCTGGAGTCCCTGGATGGAGTCCTGCATCAGGCTCCCTGCATGGAGCCTGCTTCTCCCTCTGCCTATGTCTCTGCCTCTCTCTCTCTATATTTCATGAATGAATAAATAAAATCTTAAAAAAAAAAGAAACCATGTATGATTATTGCCTCCCCCAACCATAGTGTGTTATTGGAATGGATATGATGTCATATAAATCTACCTAGTCCTTTTTCTTTTAAGTAAGCTCTATGCCCAATATGGGGCTTGAACTCAGGACCCCAAATTCAAGAGTCACATTCTCTACAGACTGAGCCAGCCAGGTTTCCCAAGTTAAGGACCTTCTATTTTTTTTTTAATCAAAATTTTTAGGGGGGATGCCTGGATGGCTCAGCAGTTGAGCCTTTGGCTCAGGGTGTGATCCCAGAGACCCAGGATCGAGTCTCACTTCTGGCTTCCTACATGGAGCCTGCTTCTCTCCCTCTGCCTGTGTCTCTGCCTCTCTCTGTGTCTCCCAAGAATAAATGAATAAAATCTTTAAAAAAAAATTTTTTTAGGGACACCTGGGTGGCTAAGCGGTTGAGTGCCTGCCTTAGATCCAGGGCATGATCCTTGGGTCCCAGGATCAAGTCCCATATCGGGCTCCCTGCATGGAGCTCACTTCTCCCTCTGCCTGTGTTGTCTCTGCCTCTCTCTCTCTCTCTGTCTCTCATGAGTGAATAAATAAAATCTTAATTTTTTTTTCTCCTCCCCATTCCCTTGGTGGAATTTACTAATCAGTGACTATAGGATGTCAATTAAAATTGATAGTGGGACATAATTCCCCTATCCCACAATTGGGTTATTATCAGTCTAGAAGTTTGTTTCCCAAGAGTGAGGCATCTCTTCAATATTTTAACGCTAATTACTCTTTATTTCATTTCATTTACTCATTTGCAAAATGAAAGCAGGTATTATTGACTTAATCCAGAATTGAATCATCATTTTGGAAATTTTGGGAGAAAAAAGTTCTTTTTCTCCCTACTGTGTAAAATGTGGCTTGTAAAACAATATTAGAAAAGATATAAAATTTTACGTTTGGCATTCTGGATAGTTTTCCCACACGTCTTTACCTTTGCAGGCCACACTAACAAATTCCAAATTATAAGTCATGCTTGAATATTATTTTTATGAAAGATGATGTCAATATTGGGTAAGGGGAAATGGACTTAAAATAATGTTTCAACCAAAGACTAAGTGTATATTTGAGAAATTCAGTGACATTTCCAAAGTTATGCATTTTTCTAATGTTTGTGAGAAAAACATTTCATAATTTATGATCTCTTTCCTCTAAGAATTTCTTGTTAGAAACACTGCTAAAAACATGCTAAGATTATTACCATCCATATTTTACATTCTATATAATATAGCTTTCATTTCATTTTCTATTAAATTTTTTTAGATTTATTTATTCATGAGAGACAGAGAGAGGCAGAGACATAGGCAGAGGGAGAAGCAGATTCCCTGCCAGGAGCCTGATGCGGGACTGGATCCCAGGACTCCAGGATCATGCCCTGAGCCAAAGGCAGACGCTCAACCACTGAGCCACCCAGGCATCCATTTTTTCCATTAATTTTTAATTTCAGTGAACGCAAATATTCAAAAACGGTTTTGTTCCATCTGGTTTGGTTCATGCTTAGTAATATTTTACTTATAAAACTTCGAAAACACGGGGGCCTGGGTGGCTCAGTTGGTTGGGCATCTGCTTTGGGCTCAGGTTATGATCCGAGAGCCCTGGTATAGAGCCCCTGATCAGCGGTGAGCCTGCTTCTCCCTCTCCTTCCCACTTGTGCTCTCTTTCACTACCTCTCTCAAATAAATTTAAAAATAAATAAAATATTTAAAACTTTGAAAACACTGCAATATTTTTATCTTAAAGAGATTTTTTTTAAAGATTTTATTTATTTATTCATGAGAGAGACAGAGACACAGGCAGAGGGAGAGGCAGGCTCCATGCAAGGAGCCCAATGCGGGACTTGATCCCAGGTCTCCAGGATCACGCCCTGGGCGGAAGGCAGGCACTAAACCGCTGAGCCACCCAGGGATCCCTCTTAAAGAGATTTATTAAAGAGAGAGCGAGTGGGAAGGGAGGGACAGAGTGAGAGGGAAAAAGAGAATCCCAAGGAGACTCTGCTGAGCCCAGAGCCCAATATAGAACTCGATCCCACGACCTCCAGATCATGACCTGAGCCTAAAACCAGAGTTGAACTCTCAAATGACTGAGCCACCCAGATACCCAAGTTGTTTCCTGCTGTTCATCCAGTACCCCGGAAGGCTGGTATTCATCATTCATTTAGACAATATGAGGAATAATATTTTTTGAATATTGAAAAACAATTAAAAATACAGAAAATAAGACTTTACATAATACCATTAAATGAAAGGCTAAGTAAATACTTAAACTTCCTGTCTTAGAAAAAGTATTGTGGTAAAGAGAACTTTCAAAATTAGTGATGGAAGGATACATTTTTGAAAGGTTCTGGAAGAGATATAAAAATATATTAATATTATTAAAGTGGGAAGAATAACAAGGACTGTGAATACATCACACAGACAGCATTTACTTATGTGGATATTTTACAGCAAATCTCAAATATACAATTTTATTCAATTAGGGTTTTGTTTTTGTTTTTTGAGAGAGAGACAGAGCATGGGGTCACACAAGTGGAGGGATTGGGGCAAAGGGAGAGGAAGAATCTTAAACAGACTCCATGCTCTATGCAGAGACTGCTGTGGGGATAAATCTCACAACACTGGGATCACGACTTCAGCTGAAATCAAAAGTCAGATGCTTAACTGACTGAGCTACCCAGGCGCCCCAGATATGTATTTTTTTTTAGAGGTAAAAAGTTTATTTCATAAAACAAGTATTTTTATTGTACCAAGAATAATATAAAATTATTATCAAGTGTCTACATTATTTTTTGCCTCCACACAGGTATTGCTCAGTGTTTTTAAGAATGAAGAAAATTAAAAAAAAAAAAAAGAAAATTTGGGGATCCCTGGGTGGCTCAGCGGTTTATCACCTGCCTTCGGCCCAGGATGTGATCCTGGAGTCCCAGATCCAGTCTCGGATCGCGCTTCCTGCATGGAACCTGCTTCTCCCTCTGCCTGTGTCTCTGCCTCTCTGTCTGTGCTTCTCATGAATAAATAAATAAAATCTTAAAAAAAAATAATGAAGAAAATTTTGGGTCCCTGGATGGCTAAATCGGTTAAGCAACTCCCTTCGCCTCAGGTCATAATCCCGGAGTCCTGGGATTGAGCCCAGTGTTGGGTTCCTTGTTCAGTGGGGAGTTTGCCTCTCCATTTCCCTCTGCCCCTCACCTCACCCAGGCTTGGTCTCTCACTCTCTCTCTCTCAAATAAATAAAAATCTTTTTTTAAAAAAAGAATGAGGAAAATTTCACTTTGGAAGCAAAATGATTAGTGACTCTAATAGTCAACTGCTCAGATTAATTCTACATCCTTTCAGACTTCACTGCTAAAATTTCTCTAAAGTATTAATTTTTTCATCATCAATTGATGTTTCCCCAGAGCTTTATCTGCCATCACCTTTGAATCACTACATAGTCACTGATTTTTGCCTAATTTTTAAAAAAGATTTTATTTATTTATTCATGAGAGACACACAGAGAGAGGCAAAGACATAGAGGGAGATCACGCTCCCTGCAGGGAGCTCCATGCGGGACTCAATCCCAGGACCCCAGGATCACGCCCTGACTCCAAGGCAGACGCTCTACCACTGAGCTACCCAGACGTCCCCTTTTTTCCTAGTTTTTATTTAAATTCCAATTTGTTGGGACGCCTGGGTGGCTCAGTGGTTGAGCGTCTGCCTTCCGCGGCTCAAGGCATTATCCTGGTTTGGGATGAGTCCCGCATGGGGCTCCGGCTTCTCTCTCTACCTGTGTCTCTTCCTTTTTCTCTGTCTCTCATAAATAAATAAATAAATAAATAAATAAATAAATAAATAAATAAATAAATAAATAAATAAATTTAAAAAAACAGATTTTAAAAGATTTTATTTATTTATTCATGAAAGACACAGAGAGAGGCAGAGACATAAGCAGGCTCCATGCAGGAAGCCCAATGCGGACCCATTCCCGGGTCTCCAGGACCACGCCCTGGGCTGAAGGCAGACATCCAACCGCTGAGCCACCCAGGCGCCCCAACAAATGTTTTTTTTTAAAAAGAATCTGTATTCTGGTTTGCCTCTTTTCCCCCTACTATGTTCATGTGTTTTCTTTCTCTTTCTTTCTTTCTTTCTTTCTTTCTTTCTTTCTTTCTTTCTTTCTTTCTTTCTTTCTTTCTCTTTCTCTTTCTCTTTCTCTTTCTTCTTTCTCTTTTTTTTATTCATGAGAGACACACACAGAGAGAGGTAGAGACACAGGCAGAGGGAGAAGCAGGCTCTCCACAGGGAGCCCTATGTGGGACTCAATCCCAGGACCCCTGGATCCTGCCCCAAGCTGAAGGCAGACGCTCAACCACTAAGCCACCCAGGTATCCCTTGTGTTTGGTTTCTTAAGTTCCACGTGAGTGAAATCATATGGTACATGTCTTTCTCTGAGTATTTCACTTAGAATAATACTTTCTAGTTCCACCCACATCTTTGCAAATGGGAATATGTCATTCTTTTTTATGGATGATTAATATTCTATTGTATATGTAAATACACATTTTTTTAAGATTTATTTATTTATTCATGAGAGACACGGAGAGAGAGGCAGAGAGAGAAGCAGGCTCCTCACAGGGACTTGATCCCGGATCCCAGGATCATACCCTGAGCTGAAGGCAGATGCTCAGCCACTGAGCCACCCAGGCATCCCTACCCCACATGGACTTCTGAGCTCTTTCTATAATTAGGGTGTTGTTGATAATGCTGCTATAAATATTGAGGTGCATGTATCTCTTCAAATCAGCATCTTTGTGTCCTTTGGGTAAATACCAAGAAGTGCAATTGCTGGATCATAGGATAGTTCTATTTTTAACTTTTTGAGGAATCTCCATACAGTATTCCAGAATGGCTGCACCAGTTTGCATTCCTATCAACAGTGTAAGAGGGTTCCCCACTCTCTGCATCCCGACCAACACCTGTTGTTGCCTGTGCTATTAATTTTCGCCATTCTGACTAGTGTGAGGTGAAATGTCATAGTAGTTTTGATTTGTATTTCTCTGATGATGAAAGATGTTGAGCATCTTTTCATGTGTCTGTTAGGCATCTGCATGTCTTTTTTGGAAAAATGCCTATTTATGTGTTCCACCCATTTCTTTTTGGGTGTTAAGTTTATAAATTCTGTATATATTTTGTTTTTTTTTTTTAAGACTTTATTTATTTATTCATGAGAGACACGGGGAGAGGGAGAAGCCGTCTCCGTGCAGGGAGTCCAATATGGGATTCGATCCTGGGACTCCAGAATCACACCCTGGGCAGATGGCAGGTGCTAAACCGCTGAGCCACCCAGGGATTCCCCCCTAAATTCTGTATATATTTTGGATACAAACCCTTTATCAAGTATGTCATTTGCAGGAGCTTCTGAGTGGCTCAATTAGTTGAGCATCTGACTCTTGGTTTCAGTTCAGGTCACCATCTCAGGGTCATGACATCAAGCTCTGTGTCAGACCCTGGACTCTGCTTGGAGTCCGCTTGAGATTCTCTCCCTCTCCCTCTGCCCCTCTCACTCTCTCTGTCTCTCAAGTAAAAAAAAAAAAAAAAAAGGTATGTCATTTGCAAATATCTTCTCCCAAGAAGAATTTGTTGACTATTTCTTTCACTACGTAGAAGTTTTTTATCTTGACAAAATTCTGATACTTCATTTTTGCTTTTGTTTCCCTTGCTTCAGGAGACATATCTAGTGAGAAGTTGCTTCACCTCACATCAAACAGGTTACTGCCTCTGTTCTCCTCTAGGGTTTTGATGGTTTCTTATCTCACATTTAGGTATTTCATCCATTTTTTAATTTATTTTTTGTGTATGATGTAAGAAAGCAGTCTAGTTTCATTCTTTCACATGTTGCCGTCCAGTTTTCCCAATACCATTTTTCTTAAAAAATAATTTATTTATTCATGAAAGAAACAGACAGGCAGAGAGACAGGCAGAGGGAGAAGCAGGCTGCTTGTGGGGAACCTGAGGCCGGACTCGATCCCAGGACCCCAGAATCATGACCTGAGCCAAAGGCAGATGCTCAACCACTAAGCCACCCAGGCGTCCCCAATACCATTTCTTGAAGGGATTGTCTTTTTTTTTTCCCATTAAATATTCTTTCCTAAAAAAAAAAAAAAAATTATTTCCTGCTTTGTGGAAGATTAGTTGACCATATAGATGTGGGCTCATTTCTGGGTTTTCTATTCTGTTCCATTGATCTATGTGTCTGTTTTTGTGCCATTACCATATTGTTTGTTAATCACTACAGCTTTGTAATAGAACTTGAATTCCAGAATTGTGATGCCTCCATCTTTGCTTTTCTTTTTCAAGATTACTTTGGCTCTTTGGGGAATTTTGTGGTTCCCTATAAAATTTAGGATGGTTTGTTCTAGCTCTGTGAATAATGCTGGTGGTGTTTTGATAGGGCTTGCATTAAATGTATAGAATGTTTTGGGTAATATAGATATTTTAACAATGTTTGTTCTTCTAATCCATGAACATGGAATGTTTTTCCATTTCTTTGTGTTATCTTCAATTTTTTTAATCAATGCTTTATGGTTTTCAGAGTACAGATCTTTTACCTTTTTGGTTAGGTTTATTCCTAGGTATCTTATGGTCATTTGTGCAATTGTAAATGGCATCAATTTTTTTTCTCTTTCTGCTTCTTCATGATTGGTGGATAAAAATGCAATAGATTTCTGTATGTTGATTTTTTATCCTGTGACTTTACTGAATTCATGTATTAGTTCTAGGAATTTTTTGGTGGAGTCTTTTGGGTTTTCTATACAGAATATCATGTCATCTGCAAATAGTGACTGTGTGACTTCTTCCTTGCCAGTTGTGGATGGCTTTCATTTTCATTTGTTGTCTGATTGCTGAGGCTAGGACTTCCAGGACTGTGTTAAATAACAGTGGTATGAGTGACCTTCCCTGTCTTGTTCCTGACTATTGAGGAAGAGCTCTCAGTTTTTCCCCAATGAGGATGATATTAGCTGTGGGTCTTTCATATATGGCCTTTATGATGTTGAGGTACGTTCCCTCTATCTCCACTTTGAGGTGTTTTTTTTTTTTAAGATTTTATTTATTCATGAGAGAGAGAGAGGCAGACACAGGCAGAGGGAGAAGCAGACTCCGTGCAGGGGGCCTGATGTGGGACTCGATCCCAGGACCCCGGGATCACGCCCTGAGCCAAAGGCAGATGCTCAACAACTGAGCCACCCAGGTGCCCCGAGTGTTTTTTTTTTTAAATCATGAATAGATGTTGTACTTTGTCAAATGCTTTTTCTGCATCTATTGAGAGGATCATATGGTTCTCATCCTTTCTTTTACAAATGTGGTGCATCACATTGGTTGATTTGCAAATTTTGAATCACCCTTGAAGTCTAGGATAAATCCCAATTGATCACGGTAAGTAATTCTTTTAATGTACTGTTTGCTTAGCTAGTATTTTATTGAAATTTTTTATATTCATGTGCACCAGGGATATTGGCCTGTAGTTGTCTTTTTTAGAGAAGTCTTTGTCTGGATTTGGAATCAGGGTAATTCTGGCCTCATAGAATGATTTTGGAAGTTTTCCTTCCATTTCTATTTTGTAGAACTCCTCTGTGAAGCCATCTGTCCCTAGACTTTTGCTTGTTGGGAGATTTTTGATTACTGATTCAATTTCCTGGCTGGTTATTGGTCAGTTCAAGTTTTTTATTTCTTCCTGTTTCAGTTTTGGTAGTTTATGTATCTGTAGGAATTTATCCATTTTTTTCCACATTGTCCAATGTGTTGTCATATAGATTTTCATAATATTCTGTTATACTTGTTTGTATTTCTGTGATGCTGGTTGTTATTTCTCCTCTTTCACTTGTGATTTTACTTACCTGGGTCCTTTCCCTTTTCTTTTTGAACAGTCTGGCTAGCAGTTTATCAATTTTATTAATTTTTTCAAAGAACCAGATCCTCATTTCAAGAACCTATTCTAATGTTCTTTTAGTTTCTATATCATTTATTTCTGTTCTAATCTTTATTATTTCCCTCCTTCTCCTGGCTCAGGGCTTCATTTGTTGTTCTTTTCCTAGCTCCCTTAGGTGTATGATTAGATTGTGTACTGAGATTTTTTTTAAGATTTTATTTATTATTCATGAGAGACACAGAGAGAGGCAGAGACATAGGCAGAAGGAGAAGCAAGCTCCATGCAAGAAGCCCGATGTGGGACTTGATCCTGGAACTCCGGATCACACCCTGAGCGGAAAGCAGACGCTCAACCACTGAGCCACCCAGGCGTCCCTGTGTACTGAGATTTTTCTTGCTTAACTGACTGCGCCACCCAGGTGACCCCCAGAGCAAAGGTTTCTAATGTACATTTCCTGAGTGTCTCTGCAGTGAGTGGAGGAGGCTAAAGAATTAAAGGGCTAGGATTCCAGGATCTCCACTGCTGAGAATGCCACACACTGAAGCCACCTAGCCACCTACTTCTTTGGCTTGAAACCGTAACTCAAGAAGGAGGCCATTAGATGCAGGAAGTTCCAATGCTCTAGACACCTACATAAGCAAACTGAAACTTCAAGTAAATTATTGTAAATGCCTTAAGGGTAAGAGATCAAAACCTAAGAACACCCAATCACAAACAAGCAACTAGGCTTTCCTAAATGAGGTGATTCCTTAAGTTATAGCCAATCTTATAACTTCTTTGCTTTGTTTCCCCTTTTTGTCTACAATAGACTTATCTCTAGTTTGGTTTGATGCTGCCCAATTGCATTTGCTGTATACTCAAACATGCTGTTTGAAATATTATTTTACCTCACTTTATCTTTTAACAGAGCTAATTTATGTTTTTAAAGATTTTATTTATTTATTTGATAGAGAGAGCACAAGCAGAAGTAGGAGAGGGAGAAACTGGCTCTCTGCTGAGCAGGGAACCTGGTGCAGAACTTGATCCCAGGACCCTGGGATCACTACCTGAGCCGAAGGCAGATGCTTAACTGACTGAGCCACCCAGGGACCCCTAACAGAGTTAACTTAAAAAAACAAAACAAAACAAAGCACAAGGTTCACCCTTGCTCAGTAGTGCTTTTATTTCTTAAAAAAGATTTTTATTTACTTGTTTATTTTTTAAAGACTTATTTGAGAGAGTTTAGTTTAAAGTTTATTTGAGAGAGATGGCCATAGATAGAGCACTAGCAGAGGGGGAAGGGCAAAGGGAGAGGAAAAAGCAGACTCTTTGCCCAGCAGGGAGCCTGATGTGAGGCCCCATCCCCGACCCTGGATCATGACCTGAGCCAATTGGCAGAAACTTAACCAACGGGGCTACCTTGGTGCCCTAAAAGATTTTATTTTTAAGTAATCTCTATACCCAATGTGGGTTCTGAACTTAAAACCCTGAGATCAAGTTGGTCTATCAACTGAGCCAGGCAGCGCCCCTCAGTGCTGCTCTTATTAAGGAAAGCTTTCTCACTGCCCAGTGTAGTATTCCATCCAATCCCCTTGTATGACAAAATCATGACCTCTCCTTGTTTCCATTGCACCTGCCACATTCTAACATGCAACATAATTTAGTAGTTCTGCTTTCAGGTTTCCTCTATTTTCCTTGAACCTAAGAAATGCCACATGAATGCAGGACTGCTTGTCTTATGCCTGCATTTTTCCCATACACCTACCAAAAGTTCCTGAAAACCCAGTATGTGTTCAATTCACATTTGGTAGAACAGTGAATAAATACGACATTTCAACTTCTCCCTTATTTTAACTACCCCAGGTACTGTAAATTTCCTCTTTAAGTCTCTATCCAAAGTGGTGTGAAAATTAGTAAAGGAAACCACTAGTAGTAGTGGAGTACCTTTCCATTAGTAAAGGAAAGGTAATGTGGAGTCAGGAGATCCTAAAAGAGGTTGCTGGTGGGACATATATAATCACGAGGAAAAAATACAATTTTAATCTTGACAAGGGAGGATGCTTTGTGGTACGAATTTAATATCCTGCTTTTAACAAAAAAGATGCTCTGTCCTTAAATCAGCAATGATGTACTAACCATGACATGCAGTAAATGAAACACTGCCACACTCTCAAAATTTTGTTCTTCAATGACTTTTATTGAAAGACACCCTCTCAAATCTCCTAAGACCTAATAAAAGCTGGCTTTACCTTTGTCTCTTTAGATTTGCTTGTGATTTACCATAGTGTGGTTATCTAGGTTGAAATTCCTCTGTTATTCTTGAATAAGCTTAATTTACTAGCAAATTAACTGCTATTATTTTTAAGATTGACAGTAGTATTTCTCAGTGTTTTCAGGAATAAAAAAAATCACGTTTTTGAGATAAAAGCCTCAGAATAACCAAACACATTAGTCCAGCACAGTTTGATTCTCTCTCTTCTCAGACTCTTAGAGCCTTCTTCTAAAAGTTCTGAGGTTGTCACTCTTTTTTAACCTTTACTGATGTGTGGGGAGATGGAACATGGGTTTTCTAAGAGCTATTCTTCCACTAAATAGCTGAAATGGGTATTTCACCACTGTTTTTCCGATATAATTTCAAATACTGAAGCAACAGTACTGCTAGGGCCTGAAGAAAGAAGAATCATTCCCAGCAAGGAGATGAGATCACTGGGTTAAGATAACCCTTTATTTCAGGGCTCAGATTGTCTCTGCACACATGCGCCAAATGAAAATGACAATATCTGTTCTGTACCCAAAACAGCATCAGTTAAGCTCCTTTGTGTTTGAGATGATGTCAGATTCGTAAAAGATATTGAGGATACCTGAGAATATAGAGTAAGAAATATATGGGTAGGGGCTTGTGGGTGGCTTGGCTGATTGGGTATCGGCCTTTGGCTCAGGTCATGATCTCAGGGTCCTGGGACCCAGTCCCTCATCAGGCTCTCTGCTTAGCAAAAAGCCTTCTCCCTCTCCCTCTGCTGGTGTTCTTTCTCTCTTTCTCTCAAATACATAAATAAAATTTTTTTAAAAAGAAATATATGGATACAAGTGTTCCTCAATAGATGGGACACAATCACTATACAGGCAAGAGAGGACTAGTGTGGAGCCAGAAGCCGAACCTGTCACTGACCACTTCATTCAGGGTGGCCTAACATTCCTGCTCTTCTTCAATATCAGAGAAATATATGGGGTGTGAAAAAGGAAACCACAGGCCCCAAATGGAGTCACTTCTGCTAGGCCATGCCACCAAACCAGCAAGTAATTCCAAAGCTCAATGCATTTTCAAACTCCCTCAGAAATTTAGTTCCAAGCTCAGTAAGGGATTTTCTGGTCAGTACCAAAAAGGTACTCTGCCACATATATAGGCCATCTCAATTCCCCAAAGAAATATGAGGGACTCTCCTAATAAGACTCTTTTGTCCCCACAATAAGGTGATCTTACCTGACATAATCCTTTGTTCTGTTTATGACATTTAGGTCCTATCTTTAAAAACCTTCCCTTTCTGTAGCGCTTTGGAGCTGCCCTCTACTTGCTAGATGAGATGCTGCCCAAGTCACAAATCACTGACTAAAGCCTATAGACCTTAACAATGTCTTAGACTTAATTTTAAACGGACTTTTGTGGAACGCCTGGGTGGCTAGGCAGTTGAGCATCTGCTTTGGCTCAGGGCATGATCCCGGAGCCCAGGATCTAGTCCTATATCCGGTTTATGTCTGGGGCCTGCTTCTCCCTCTCCTATGTCTCTGCCTCTCTCTCTGTGTGTCTCGCATGAATAAATAAAATATTTTTAAAAAACAAAAACAGGGAATTTTGTATTCGTCCTAACCAATTCCAAAACTGACTAACGTTTCGGGATACATGCATTGATGAGCAACATCTTTCAACTATGTACATTCATTATATATCTGGAGTGCTGTACGAAATGACATGTAATTTACCTAAGTAAAAGGATTTGAGAGCACCTAAAATAATAGTGTCTTGGAAGCTGACTGGACTTCCTGGAGTCTAAAATTATGACCTTTCTCCGCCTTTATTTATTTTTAAAGTTTTTATTTACTTATTATTGAGAAACACGGGGGGGCTGGGGCGCAGAGACACAGGCAGACGAAGAAGCAGGCTCCCTGCAGGGAGGCTGACCTGGGACGAAGAAGCAGGCTCCCTGCAGGGAGGCTGACCTGGGACTCGACCCCGGTTCTCCAGGATCAGGCCCTGGGCTAGAAAGAGGGACTAAACCGCCGAGCCACCCAGGCCGCCCCTTTATCCGCCCTTAACAGGAAGTGATGACAGTGCCTCTGGGTAGGAGCAGCACTTTCCAAAGGCCCCAGGATGCCACGTGACCTCCGCTCCAGTATTCCTGGGTGGAGGACGCCCTACTGGAGGCTGCCCTACCTCTGGAAACCACACTACCGGGAAGAGCCTGGGCACGGCGCAGCGAGGAGCCAATGAGGGAACACAATGCCGCGTTTCTAGGCGGGCGCCATCCTAGGGGGCGGGACTTCCGGCCTCATCTCACTGTAAATACTTTTCCTCTGGTTGGGTCTGTTTATCCCCCAAGGGGTCGGGCACAGAGTCGGGGTGACTAGTCGTGAAGACGCAGAGGGACCCACTGTCCTCGCCAGGCACACGGAGGCCCGGGCCCACTCCGAGTCCGATGGCTGCGACCGCGCCCAGGACCCCGGCGCAGGTAAACGCTCGTCCCCCGGACCCTCCCCGCTCTCCCCGCACCCAGACCCCTAAGGCCCGAGCGCGGGGCGCCTGCTCGTGGCCCTGCGGCCCCGGCCACGCCCCGGCGTTCCGGACAGGGAGGCGCCGGTGTGCGGGGTCCCCGCGGGTGAGCGCCTGCGGGCTGTATTGCTGCCGCGGGCAGCAGGGGAGGGGCGGGCAGGGGCTGACTGCGGGGGTGGGGGTTGGCTTCGTGAGCAGCAGTGAACTGCACGTGTCCATTCTTTCTGTCAAAGCAGGTGCCGCGCGGCCAGTGAGGCCTGCGCCCTCGCTGCCTGACGGGGCCGTCTGTCTTGGCGGTGCTGAGAGGGGGGCGACCCGGGTGTACATAGGCTTTATCTGGCCGCAGAAGGGCACGCCCCGCGGGGGTAAGCGAGGAGGAGGGAATCGCAGGAGTCGGTGGATTGTTGATGGACTCCGTGGCCACCGTGGACGTGGTCAACCGGTTGACTCTGGTCTATGTTTTGAGAAGGGCCGAGGCCGATTGTGGGTGTTGCAGGTGAGAAAAGGAAGGGAGGAGTCAGGGCAAACCCCAGGGCCTTCGTTACGTGAACCTTAAAAAGTGCCAGTTCCCCGTAAAAATGGCTTGATGTAGGAGCGACAGAGAACTGCGGTTTGGAATAAAGCAGCTGAGTCAAAATAGCAGGCCAGTGTGGAGAACAGGAGAGAGGTAGTCTATTTTAAGGGGAAAGGGGGGAAGTTGGGGAGGCTGTTGTAAACTACAAGTCCACTGGAGTAAGTTGGGAGTTGCGGCTTCTCATTGGCTGAGCTGTTGGGTGCGGTGATCAGGAAAGCCTGTCTTTTTGGGGCCTGAGGTAGTGAAGTCGTGTCCCATATAAGGTCAATCCCATCGCTTTCTGTTGGGCCTGCAGTTGATCACATTGGTAGTGCCTGAGAGCTCCCCGAAGTGCAACCTCCCGACTCCAGTTTGTTTGTTTGTTTGTTTGTTTATTTAAAATTTATGATAGTCATACAGAGAGAGAGAGAGAGAGGCAGAGACATAGGCAGAGGGAGAGAGAGAAGCAGGCTCCATGCACCGGGAGCCCGACGTGGGATTCGATCCCGGGTCTCCAGGATCGCGCCCTGGGCCAAAGGCAGGCGCTAAACCGCTGCGCCACCCAGGGATCCCCTGACTCCAGTTTAGTGAAGTTTCCCGTTATGAATAGCAGCGGAAGGGATTGAAGCTCCCGTGAACCTGATGGAAGTTGGCAGTATGTTGATTATCCTTTGGGGTGTCCTAACTTGTCTTGACATGGTTAAGCATCTTAGACGTCTTAGGGAAGTGTGAGTGATGGTGTGGAGTGGGCAGCTGGACAGGACATTTTGGGAAACTGGGGGAAAGTTGCAGATTGGAGGCTTCCCAAAGTGATGGCTGTTGTGCGGAGCAGGGGGAGAATTGGGTCCCATTTAGGAAGGGCATGCAGGGACGCCTGGGTGGCTCAGCGGTTTAGCGCCTGCCTTCGGCCCAGGGTGTCATCCTGGAGTCCCGGGATGGAGTCCCACTTCAGGCTCCCTGCGTGGAGCCTGCTTCTCCCTCTGCCTATGCCTATGCCTCTGCCTCTGTCTCTGTCTCTTTGTCTCTCATGAATAAATAAATAAAATCTTAAAAAAAAAAAAGGAAGGGAATGCAGAGAATATTAGCAGTGCTATTAGTAGGTCACCGGGTACTACTAAACTGTGCTGAAGAGTGGTTCTGTTGTTCAGCGTGAGTTTTTATAGTTGCTGGGCATTGCGAACACAGGTGAAGGTAGAGAGAATGATCTGGCAGTCAGATAGGCAAGCCTTCCACAGGGTGATGGATGGAACAAGAGATAGCAGAGGACAACTGGGAGTTTTGGGGTTTTTTTTGTTTTTGTTTTTGTCTGTCTGTTTTAAGGCGGCTCCATGCCCTTGTGGAGCCCAAAATGAGACTTGACCTCTGGACTCTGAGATCAAGAGTCAAATGCTGAACCTACGAGTGTTTGGGAAACAGGGGCTACTATCTTACCAGTTTTGTAGGGCTTCAGCAGAATTTTGGGATCAGCTTTTACCATATTTGGGGTCTTTCAAAGTCTTGCTGCTGGATAAGGTCTGGGCAGATGTGATCATTGCTGCTTCACTGTGCCTGGCAGGGAGACCTTTAGTGCTGGGGTCTTCACAACGGTTCAGTGGACAGTGGTGGGTTCTGATGGTTGAGGGACAGCATGGGCAGCACAGAAGTAGAAGAGGGTCTGTGAGTATCCTAAGTTGACATGTGCTTGTGAGTGCCTGTCATTGAAGGGAGGATTACAGGCAGGTTGAGGAGGGCTTCTCAGCAGCATCTGAGGCTTTCCCTCAGTTGGGATCCATGAGAGTCCTGGGGTGGTAGTGGAGCCATCAAACATCCTTTGGATGACCTGTGACGAGTACAAGAGTGAGTGGTGGGAGAATCGTGTGGTGTGGGGGCAGGAAGGCGTGGGCGTTCATCTGTGGGGTCTGAAGACAGGAGAGAGGTACAGTCTACAGAATCATGTGCACATGGAGAGGAGGTGTGAGCCAAGGACCTCAGGGTCCTGATATTGAGGACTCTCTGGTAAAGCAGGGCCCATACCTGGCTGTCTCGGGGCATAATCTGGGAGCCTTCATTTGGAATATCGTGACAGGGAGATGGGACCTTGCAGGCCACACCCAGAGCTTAGATTGCACCTACATGTCCTGTGTCTGTTACTACTGAGGACTGAACAGTGATTGACGGGAAGGCGAGAGGAGTGCAGCATTAGTGGCACCAGGACCTGGCATTTATCTTACAGTGGGGAGCTGAGGTGGCAGGGGAGACTGGGGTGCTTTGGGGGGGGGGTTGGATTGTGGGTTCTCAGAGAGAGAGAGAATGTTCATGGTTCCATCTGTCGCTGTCCTGACAGGGTGGCGTGACCTTTGAGGACATTGCCGTGTACTTCTCCTGGAAGGAGTGGAGACTTCTGGATGAGGCTCAGAGACGGCTGTACCACCATGTGATGCTGGAGAACTTTACACTTATATCCTCACTGGGTAAGACCTTCACCGTCCTCATTCACCTGGATTAGTAGACTCTGTATTCCACATCCCCCTCCTCCCTTTTCCAGGGGATGGTTTGTCCTTCTCATGTGTGGCCTGTGGGCACCGCTTGCTTCCCCAGCTTTCTGGGTAGTTGCTTTTGTGGCTAGCTCTGAGTTGTTGGTGTGCCCTTTCCTCTGCCCTGCAGTCCCCGTACCCTGTGTACTGAACCCTGAGGGTGACATTGGAGGTCAGTAGTCCTGCAGTGAGGCTGATGGATTGCACCTGGCTTGCCCTCTGCCCGGCTGGGTACATGTGTTCAGATCCGTGCCATTTCTGTGGCCCGCCTTTTGATACCTTGTGACATTTCCTTGTGCCTGCCTATGCCTGAAACTGCAGGCATTGGCATGTTTACTTCTTAAGTGGACCATGGGCTACTTCTCAAGAGTGTCATCTGTGGTTCTTTCTGTAGTGTTTACATCTCTTCTTTCATCTGGTCGCCTTCCTTCAATTTTTGAGAAATGATTGGCAAATAAAATTATATTATTGAAATTATATTATATAATGATTTGGGATGCCTGGGTGTCTCAGCAGTTGGGCGTCTGCCGGGTGTGATCTCCATTCAGGGATCATGTCCCGCACTGGGCTCTCTGTGGGGAGCCTGTTTCTCCCTCTGCCTGTGTCTCTGCCTCTCTCTGTGTCGCTTATGAATAAATAAATAAAATCTTTAAAAGTAAATAAGGTGTATTATATGATGATTTATTATAGAATATGAAACTATTACCTAAATTAAGGCAATCAACACACCGATCACTTGATATAACTTTTTTCGGCAGCCCGGGTGGTTCAGTGGTTTAGTGCTGCCTTCAGCCAAAGGCGTGATTCTGGAGACCTGGGATCAAGTCCAATGTCAGGCTCTCTGCATTGGTCCTGCTTCTCCCATGCCTGTGTCTCTGTCTCTGTGTGTGTTTATGTCTCTCATGAATAAATAAATAAATCTTAAAAAAAATTTACCTTTTTGTTAGTATTGTTGAGAAAGCTTAATATCTACTCACTTACCAAATTTCAGGTGTACAATACGGTATTAACAACTGTATTCAAGGCAGCCCGGGTGGCTCAGCGATTTAGCGCAGCCTTCAGCCTAGGGCGTGATCCTGGAGACCTGGGATGAGTCCCACAGTTGGGCTCTCCGCAGGGGGCCTGCTTCTTCCTCTGCCTGTGTCTCTGTGCCTCTCTCTCTCTCATGAATAAATAAATAAAATCTTAAACAGACAAAGAAAAGAACTGTATTCAAACTGCTGTACATTTGGTCCTTAGAACTTACTCATGTTTTAAGTGAAAGTGTGTATCCCTGACCACCATCTCCCCATTTCCACCAGTCCTAGCTTCTGGCATCCTGTTTTCTTTTTTTGTGAGTTTGGGTATGTTTGTTTTTTCAAGAATATCCTTATATGTAATACTGTGCAATACTTGTCTTTTACTGTGTGGTTTATTTGACTTAGCATAGTATTTTTCAGGTTCATCCATGTTATGGCAAGTGGAAATTTTGCTTTCTTTTTTATGACTGAATATTCCTGTGTATGTGTGTATACTAAATGTTCTTTGTCACTTTAAACACACAGGCACAGTTAATGATATTTCCACATATTGGTTATTGTGAATAATACTGCAGTGGGTATGTGTGTGAAGATACTCTGTGGAGATACTGATTTTCTTTGGCATACATACCTAGAAATGACAATGGTGGACCATGTGGTAGTTTTTTTGCTTTTGTTTTTTTTTTGTTGTTGTTTATTTTTTTTTTATTTTTTTATTTATGATAATAACAGAGAGAGAGAGAGAGAGAGGGAGAAGCAGAGAGAGAAACAGGCTCCACGCACTGGGAGCCCGACGTGGGATTCGATCCCGGGTCTCCAGGATCGCGCCCTGGGCCAAAGGCAGGCGCCAAACCGCTGCGCCACCCAGGGATCCCCTGTTGTTTATTTTTTAATTTAAACTTAGTTAACATGTAGTGTAGTAACAGTTTTTGGAGTAGAATTCCATGATTTGTCACTTACATGCAATTCCCAGTGCTCATCACAAGTGCCCTCTTTAATATTCATCACTTATCTGGCCCATCCCCACCACATCCCTCCATCAACTCTTAGTTGTTCTGTATCCTTTTTCTTTTTCTTTTCTTTTCTTTTTTTTTTTTTTAAGATTTATTTATTCATGAGAGACACAGAGAGAGGGGGTGTGGGCAGAGACACAGGTAGAGGGGAGTAGCAGGCTCCCCAAAGGGAGCCCAATGCAGGACTCAATCCTGGATCCCAGGATCAGGCTGTGAGCCAAAGGCAGACGCTCAACCACTCAACCACCCAGGCGTCCCTTTTTTTTTCTTTCTCCTTTTTCTACTCCCCCTTCTCATTTGTTCATTTGTTTTCTTAAATTGCAGATATGAGTGAGATCATATGATATTGTCTTTCTTTGATTGACTTACTTCACTTAGCCTAATAACCTCTAGTTTCATCCATGTCATTACAAATGGCAAGATTTCATTCTTTTTGAAGGCTGAGTAATACTCCATTGTATAAATATACCACATCTTCTTTATCCATTCATTAGTCAGTGGACATATGGTTCTCTTCTTGTCGATAATGCTGGGGTGTATATACGCCTTCTTATCTGTGTTTTTGTATCCTTTGGATAAATATAGTTGTTGGTTTGTAGGGTAGTTCTGTTGTTAACTTTTTGAGCAACCTCCATAATGTTCTCCAGAGTGGCTGTACCAGTTTGCATTTCTCATTAACAGTCCAAAAGTGTTCCCCTTTTTCCACATCCTCACCAACACTTGTTTCCTGTGTTGTTAATTTTAACCATTCTCACAGGTGTGAGATGATACCTCATCATGGTTTTGATTTGTAGTTCCCTGATAGGAATAGTGTTAAGCATCTTTTCATACATCCGTTAGCCATCTATCTGGATGTCTTCTTTGGAAAAAGGTCTATTCGTGTCTTCTGCCCATTTCTTAACTGGATTATTTGTTTTGTGATGTTGAGTTTGGTAAGTTCTTTATAGATTTTGTAGTAAGCCTTTATCGTATATGTTGTTGGCAAATATCTTCATCCATTCTGTAGGCTGCCTTTTAGTTTTGTTGATTGTTTCCTTTGCTATGCAGAACCTTTTATCTGGATGAAGTCTCAATAGTTCATTTTTGCTTTTGCTTCCCTCATTTCTGGCAACGTGTCTGATAAGTTGCTATGGCTGAGGTCAAAGAGGTTTCTGTCTATGTTCTCTAGGATTTTGATGGTTTCTTGTTTCACATTTAGATCTTTCATCTGTTTTTTAATTTTTTTTCATGTATGGTATAAAATAATGGTCCAGTTTCATTCTTTTCCATGTTGCTATCCAGTTTTCCCAGCACCATTTGTTGAAGAAACTGTCTTTTTTTTCCTTTGAATAATATTTCCTTCTTTGTGGAAGATAGTTGACCATAGAGTTGAGGGTCCATTTCTGGGCTCTCTTTTCTGTTCCATTGATCTATCTATCTGTTTTTGTGCCAGTACCATACTATGTTAATCACTACAGCTTTGTAATAAAACTTGAAATCCGGAATTGTGATGCTTCCAGTTTTTTCTTTTTTCTTTTTTTTTTTTTAAGATTTTATTTATTTATTTATGAGAGACACAGAGAAAAAGCAGAGACACAGGCAGAGGGAGAAGCCAACTTCCTGCAGGCACCCCAATGTGGGGCTCAATCCCAGACCTGGGATCCGGGATCATGCCCTGAGCTGAAGGCAAACGCTCACTCATCCTCTGAGCCACCCACGCACCCCTCCAGTTTTGTTTTTCTTTTCGGAATTGCTTTGGCTATTCAGGGAATTTTGTGGTTCCATACAAATTTTTAGGATTGTTTGTTCTCGCTGTGTGACATATGCTGGTGGTATTTTGATAAGGATTGCATTAATTTTAATTTTTTAAAAGATTTTATTTTTTTTATTTATTAGAGAGAGAGAGAGAGAGAGAGGCAGAGACACAGGCAGAGGGAGAGGCAGGCTTCATGCCAGGAGGCCGATATGGGACTCGATCCCAGGACTCCAGGATCAGGCCCTGGGCCAAAGGCAGGCGCCAAACCACTGAGCCACCCAGGGATCCCTCCTACAGTATTTTTCTTTTCTGTTTTCTTTTTTCTTTTCAGTAGGCTCCACACTCAGCATGGAGCCAAACACAGAGCTTAAACTCATGACCCTGAGATCAAGACCTGAGCTGCAATCAAAGATCAGATGCCCAACTGACTGAGTCACCCAGGGGCCCCGTCCTACAGTATTTCTATCTTCCTGGTACCATGTAGTTCCTTAGCTAGGGCTTCCAGGGAAGAGTCCTTCATGTATCAGAGTATGCTGCAGACATGACCAGGTGGGCTCATAGAGGACCTGTTTCTGGCGAATCACAGCTGGGAAAGCTGGTGATATTAGGCCTCTGTTCATATCATACTGGGTACCTTTGTTCAACCAGAGTTTGCTGTAGTTGGCAATGGCCACACCCATTTCTGGCTTTCTTTCTTCTCTGTTGGCAGTTTGTGGACTTCTGGGTTCTGTTTCTTTGGTGATGCCTTGACTTCCAGCGCAGGGGTAATCGGTGCTCCTCGGGCCTCCACATCTCACCCCTTTCTCTCACTGCTCTTTCTGTGTAGTCCAACATTCACACTTGCCCAGTTTGCCATGAGATGTTAACAAATCCCTGAACTGACCTTGAACAGTAGCAAATTTCTTGTGATTGGATTTTCCAAAGCCTTCTACTCAGCCAAATATCTGCAGCAAAAATGGGCCTACACGAAGCTGTGGGCAGAGAACAAGTTGTAGACCCTGGCTCTCTTCCTGGTGTCATACCTTAGTTTTGTATTCTTCTAGTGAGCTCTCCATGATACTTTGATCTTAAGGGCCCAGTAACACACAGCAGTCACTCCTTCAACTGAATTCCATCTCCAGTGTCTAGAAAACCATGCCATACGTTTATGCTAAGGTAAGACTGGCATGTATGTGATTGGCTTACCCATCACTATAGTCAACACATACTTCACCAGTATTTCTTTGTGTTCAGGTTGCTGCTGTGGAGCAGAGGCTGCGGAGGCACCCACTGAACAGAGTGCTTCTGGAGGTGTGTCACAGACCAGGACGCCCAGGATAGCTCTGACTTCCCGGATGACCCACCCCTGTGAGATGTGTAGTCTTGTCTTGAGAGACATTTTCCACTTGGCTGAGGAGCAAGGAAAAGAAAACAGCCAGAAACTGTTAAGGTGTGGGGCATGTGGGAAACGATTTTATTTTAGTATACGGTTTAAACAGCAGCAGGAGCAGCACGGGGCTGAAAAACCATTCAGAAACCGTGTAGACAGGGTCTCTGTTGTGAAGAGCTGGGGACTCCACAATTCTGGAAAGCCCTTTACCTGTGGGGAAGTTCAGAAAGATTTTCTGTCTGGTTCGGGGCATCTGCAGCAAGAGGCCACTGAGAGTAGGGAGAAGCCAAACACAATCATCCAGTGCAGAGCAACTTTACAAAGCAGAAAAAGTCATTATCCTTGGGGAGAATGCAAGAATGCCTTTGGTCCCCAACATTCACATATTCAGGACCAGGGTGTTCACCTTGGAAGACAGTGCTTTATGTGCAGTGACTGTGGGAAGTCTTTTAGCACTCATACTGCTCTCCATTATCACCAGAGAGTTCACACTGGAGAGAGGCCTTATGAGTGCAGTGAGTGTGGCAAGTCCTTTACCCGAAGACATAGCCTCAATGTGCACCTAAAGGTTCACTCAGGTGAAAGGCCTTATAAGTGTAATGAATGTGGGAAATCTTTTATTTGTAGGTATGAACTCCAGTATCATCATAGAAGTCATTCTGGAGAAAAACCTTATGAGTGTAGTGAATGTGGAAAATCTTTTACCTCTAGCTCTGCCCTCAGTTATCATCAGAGATCTCACAGAGGAGAAAGACCTTATGAGTGCAATGAATGTGGGAAATCTTTTACTTCTGGGTCTTCCCTCAGGTACCATCAGAGAGGTCACACGGGAGAAAGGCCTTATGAGTGCAGTGAATGTGGGAAATCCTTTAGACAAAAATATTCCCTCTCAATACACCAGAAAATTCATAGTAGAGGAAGCCCTTATAAATGCAACAAATGTGGGAAATCTTTTTCTTGTAGTTCCAGTTTCCATTATCATCAGAGAATTCACACAGGAGAAAGGCCTTATGAGTGCAGTGAGTGTGGAAAATCTTTTATCAGTAGCACTGCCCTCCATTATCATCAGAGAATTCACACTGGAGAAAGGCCTCATGAGTGCAGTGACTGTGGGAAATCTTTCAGCACTCATAGTGCTCTTCGATATCATCACAGAGTTCACACTGGAGAGAGGCCTCATGAGTGCAGTGAATGTGGCAAGTCCTTTACCCGAAGAAATAGCCTCAATATGCACCTCAAAGTTCATTCAAGTGAAAGGTTTTATGAGTGTAATGAATGTGGGAAATCTTTTATTTGTAGGTATGAACTCCAGTATCATAACAGAGTTCATTCTGGAGAAAAACCTTTTGAGTGCAATGAATGTGGAAAATCTTTTACCTCTAGCTCTGCCCTCACTTATCATCAGAGATCTCACAGAGGAGAAAGGCCTTATGAGTGTAGTGAATGTGGGAAATCTTTTACTTCTGGGTCTTCCCTCAGGTACCATCAGAGAGGTCACACAGGAGAAAGGCCTTATCAGTGCAGTGAATGTGGGAAATCCTTTAGGCAAAAACATTCCCTCTCAATACATCAGAGAATTCATAATGGTGGAAGCCCTTACCAATGCGACAAATGTGGGAAATCTTTTACTTTTAGTTCCAGTTTCCATTATCATCAGAGAATTCACACAGGAGAAAGGCCTTATGAATGCAATGAGTGTGGAAAATCTTTTATCAGTAGCACTGCCCTCCATTATCATCACAGAGTTCATACTGGAGAAAGGCCTCATGAGTGCAGTGAATGTGGGAAGTCCTTTATCCAAACATCTTCCCTCTCAGTACACCAGAGACTTCATAAGAGAGAAAGGCCTTACGAATGCAGTGAATGTGGTAAATCCTTTACCTATAGTTCCAGTTTCCATTATCATCAAAAAGTTCACACTGGAGAAAGGCCACATGAGTGCAGTGAATGTGGGAAGTCCTTTATCACTCGTACTGCTCTCTGTTACCATCACAGGGTTCACACTGGAGAACGGCCTTATGAGTGCAGTGAATGTGGGAAATCGTTTAGGGGAAAATCTAACCTCTCTCAACATTGGAAAGTTCACACTAGAGAAAGGCATAATTGTATAATGAATATGCAATTTCCTTATTCAGTGTAATGACACTGGTGAAACTCTCTGAGGAGGCATTTGCCTGATTTGAATCTTTTACAGTTGGAGATTCCTTACAATTTCAGTTATGTTGGAATATATGTGGCTAAGTTGCATTTTCTAACTTGTCCAGAGATCCCTCTAAATTTATGTAACTGACAGTTCAGTGACTATTTCACCTCTGCCAGCTGGTAGGTCCACACAGTGCACATCTGTCCTCACCCCAGTGTACTCCTTGTACTCAGGCTGACCTCTGTTCTCATGAATTGCAGCAGATTAGCAGTAACCTGAGGCCTTAGGGGTCAGCTTTCCTTCTTCCTTGAATACCTTCAAGGCATGGACCTAAATCAGTGATGATCCAGAGAATATCATGAGTTTGGCTGGCAGTTTACAGAGAATGACTACGTTTTTGAGAGATACCTTGGTCTTATGTGATGCTTGTGATGAGTTTCTCCAGCTTCCAGGTCACAGAACGGAGAACTATCTGCTGCACGTTGATTTGGCCGACATGGTAATCAAGGCCTTACTGTTTAAGTCCTTTTTGATTTTGAATTTCTACTTACTGTACAGGCTAATTTATAAAGAGACGTGGGCTCATCAGTCATCAGAGGCTCACCTTTTTAGGAATCTCCAATTATCTGTGCCTGTGGAGGGAGAGGAGGAAGGCAGAAAACAGCTTGCCAGGTTTTTGTTTTGTTTTGGTTTGGTTTGGTTTTTTTTTTTTTTTTTTTAAGTAAACTTTGTGTCCAACTTGGGACTCAAACTCAAAACCTCATGAATCACAGGCTCAGGCAGCCTGGGTGGCTCAGCGGTTTAGCACTTGCCTTTGGCCCAGGGCATGATCCTGGAGTCCTGGGATCGAGTCCCACGTTGGGCTCCCTGCATGGAGCCTGCTTCTCCCTCTGCCTTGTGTCTCTGCCTCTTTCTCTCTGGATCTCTCGTGAATAAATAAATAAAATATTAAAAAAAAAAGAAAAAGAATCACAGGCTCTACTGACTGAGCCAGCCAGATGTTTCAGTAAGCAGCCTGCCAGTTTTGACTAAATTTGCATTGCTGCCCCACAGCCTCCTATGCAGGGCTTTCTGGTTTTCTTTTGAGGCCTGGATGCCATGTGATTTTAGGATCCTCAGTGATGACCCCAAGGAGGGGGCAAGTGTGAGATCCTCAGATGCTTCTGCAAGCAGCATGAATTTTTCCCCATACTCAAAAGAGATCTCACAGGGGATGTCAGCACCATTGAGGTGGTATCTTCCCATGTCTACAAACAGCTATGTGCTCTGATGTCCACAGTTCACTAGGCTAGGGTCTCTGGTTCTAAGACCACAGGGGGCAGGGGGAAACTGTAACTGGTACAGAAACACTGGCTTAATAGGAAATGGAGGAGACTGCAGCCAACTGGATGCAGTGTGCCTCTTCTAAAAGTGCATCCGAACACGTTTCTGTGGCAGTGACTCTGCAGGATTAGTGTGTGCACAAATCTTAGGAGGTATAGGTGTGCGTTTCTTATGTAGCTGAAGTCATTGTCAGATAAAATAATTGAAAGCTAGACTTTACAAATGGCAAAAATAATAATAATAATAATAATAATAATAATAATAATAATTGAAAGCTATTGATTCCTTTACCCCCCTCATTGTTTACCACTTCAAAGCCATTACTGCACAGAGAGGAAAACAAGATATTAAAGGAGGTGGAGGGGGCGCCTGGGTGACTCAGTGGTTGAGCGCCGGCCTTCGGCCCAGGATATGATCCTGGAGACCCAGGATCGAGTCCCACATGCAGGGAGCCCGTTTTCCCCTTTGCCTCTCACTCTCTGTGTGTCTCATGAATAAATAAATAAAATCTTAAAAAATAAATAAATAAAAATAAAAGGGGTGGAGGAATCTGTAGTTTTTTGATGTGGCTCTTAAGACCCAGGCACTGTTCCTGTTGGCTCTGGTGGAAATGTCCTTCACTGCTCCCGGTATTTGCAGACACCGAGGTAAGACTGACCCCTAGAGGACATGGGAACAGGTGGGACTGTCAGTATAGGGTTGCCAAACATATTTTTGAGCCGATTTTTAAAACTATAAAGGTTTAATTTACAGATGTTAATAAACTGCGTGTTTATAAATGTACAATTTGATAAGTTTTGACAAGCATATGAATCTCTGAAAACCATCATAACCTTGATAATGACTATATATGTCATGGTATATTTACCTCCTGCCCTATTACAGACTCTCCTTACGCTACCCACCTCTTGGTAACCATTGTACTTTGTTTTGCAATGGAAGCCATCACATTTTTTATTTATATGTTTGGAATCAAACTGTTTACTCTTTTTTTCCTGATTTCCTTTGTGTTTTATAATTACTTTGACTTTCATCAATGATATTATGAGTAGCTCACTTTTCTAACATTCTTATGTTTGGGTATGCTACTGTTACTTTATTCATCCTTTTTATGGGCTTTTAGGTTATTTCTAGATTTGCCTATTGAAAATAAAGCACTCAACAAACATTTGTGTCAGTACTTTCATATAGACATGCTGTTTTTATTTTTGTCAGTAATGTTCAATATCTGAGTCACGTGGTAGATGAATACTAACTTTTGAAGAAACTGCTATACTGTGATCAAAATGATTGTTTGCCAAAAAAAAAAAAAATGATTGTTTGCTTTTGCATTCACATCAACAGTGGATGGAAGTCCGTATCTTCTACATACCTGCCAACACTTGATATGACCATTCTTTAATTTCAGCTCATGTAATAAGTGTGTAGTATAATCTCAGTGTAGTTTTATTTTTTTAAGGATTTTTATTTATTTATTCATGAGAGAGAGAGGCAGAGACATAGGCAGAGGGAGAAGCAGGCTCCCTGCAAGGAGCCCCATGTGGGACTTGATTCTGGACCCCAGGATCATTCCCTGAGCTGAAGGCAGACTTTCTTTTTTCTTTTTTTTTTTTTTTTGAAGGCAGACTTTCAACTGCTTAACCACCCAGGTGTCCCCTTAGTGTAGTTTTTATTGCATTTCCTGAAGGATTCATGATTTTGAGCATCTTTTGTTTTACTTGCCAATTATAAATCTTATGTATTTCTTTTCCATTAACATCATTTGCCTATTTTCTTGTATGTGAGTTACAGCAATTTTCCTTTTCATTTACAAATAAGACACTAAAGCAACAAAGGCATGTTTAAAAGAAAACCCCAAGCCCTGAGTACAGTTGCTTTGCTACCACTACATCACCAAACCTGGGCTTAATAGCTAACCTATTGTAGATTAGTAGTTTTAGTTTTAAGTTGTGTGTTGTAGTTTTAACTTTTCCTCAATCAGCCCAAAGTTTCCTGGTTACAGTAGTGTAATCCACCTAATAAGTCCCCATTGTCCCCCCAAATGGGGATGACTTTGCCCAAATAATCCTTTTTTTAAAAAAAATATTTTTTTAAAAAATATATTTATTCATTCACGAGAAGCTCACAGAGAGGGGCAGAGACATAGGCAGAAAGAGAAAGAGAGAAGCAGGCTCCATGCAGGGAGCATGATGTAGGACTTGATCCCTGGATTCCAGGATCACACCCTGGGCTGAAGGCAGGCGCTCAACCGCTGAGCCACCCAGGTGTCCCTCCTTTTTTGTTTTTATGACATCCTTGTCCTGCCTTTAAAAACTTTCTGCCCCATTGGAGCTCCCTTAATAATTGCAAGATGGGATGCTGTTCAATTCATAAATTGTTCAATAGAGATAATTTGATCTTCAAATTTACTCAGTTGAATATTGGTTTTTTTTTTTAGCAGAAACACTATACATGTTTAAATTTAGCGTGCATTCTTACCATCATGTTAGCACTTTCATAAATGCAGGCATGCAGAAATACAAAAATCCATCTCTGATGTAGTGTTTGCCTCTTTACAAAGTTAAATTCTCCCATTATGATTGTGGGATATTCTCAGAGAAAGCACTGAAAAGCTGTACTTGGGTGTTTGGTGGAAAACTAAACTTTGGCATCTGCAGGAGATTTTACAAGCCCAGGCAGACAGCAGATTTGGGGTCTGAGAGCTGGCTGGAGGTGTGTGAGTATCACAGGCAGGAGACATTTATCCTGACCGGCGGGAGGGGAGATACTCCCTGAACACCCTGAGGGGTGAGTGTAAGTCAGGCTGGTCTCACATTAGTAAAGACAAGGTTGGCACGCACACCCGGCAGAGTTGCTTCCTCCCATCCCACGCGGTATACGGGAAGAACGTCTCACCGTGGAGTGCCAGCCTCCAAGTGATTTAATTCCTTCTCTTTCTGTAACAACTGATCACCCAAAGAATCGTCATTCCGTGTCTCCGATCTGGGCTTTTTTTCCAGACAGCTAGCTCAGGGGAAGTTGGATGGGCCCAGGAGGGGACGGGCGCTGGGGTCATATCCTGCCTCCCCCTGACCTGGAAGTACTTGGAGCCTGGGGCAGCGGGAACTCTATCAGAAAAGACAGGGGTTCCCCTGAGTGGTATTTCACCCGGAACATCCGGTCAGTGCCGGCCTCCCTCTCCACCAGAAGGATGGGAGTCCAGGTGGCGTAGGGCCTCTACCAGAATGAAGAGGGTCCCTAGTTCAGGCATGTGGGAAGCTGCGGAGTCCTTTTTTTCCTCCTGGACATGCAGGATCATGGTGCCATCTCGCAAAATCAGCCAGGAAGGGGCCTACAGAAGGGCCTAGTGCCTAGTAAGACGGCAGGGGTGGCACAGGAAGAGAGGAGACGCCTGGCAGTTGTTGGAAGGACCCTCTGTTGAGTACCCGTACTTTGCTGGAGCTGATATTCCCATCAATCCTTAAGGTGGTGCCTGCCCACAGCTCTGGCCATTCTTGCTCCCCAGGGACACAGCACAGTCCACAGATGTGTCCTCCATTCCTCCCACAGGCATCATCATGACTGCTCTGGCTCCTCTTGGCGGTGATGAAGTGTAGACGTCTGGACTAAACTCAGTGGATTATGTTGTCCATGATTATTTTAATGGAAAAAAGCCTCGGGTCCAAGATGATCAAAAAATGATGACCTTGTTGTACTGTCCCAGCACAGGGGTGTGAGAGCACCTAACCTGGGGTTCCTAAACAGACTAGATTTGGCCACTCCCCAATTACAAAATCCAAAGACAGAGAAATGTGTGGTGGTTAAAGAAGAAAGGACCTCAGCGAGGACAACGCAGGGAAGACAGTGGAATAACCTCTCAAAAATTGTCTCCAAAGTGCTCAAAACGCTTCCGGGTTTGTAGAAGGAAAATGTGGGGCAAAGGTGAGTAGGGACTTGCTGGTAAGCAGTAAAAGACAAATAGGTCATTGTCCTGGAGTCAATCATGGGTGGGGTCTTGCATGTTCAGGGTAATCCTTAGTGCTTAAGGTGTAGTTTGGGTTCCCATCAGAGGATGCTTTGCCATCAGGGTCTTCCATCTGAGTCGAGACAAGCTGGAAAGAAGAACCTAGCTAGAAAGTTTGAGGTCAAATGGGGGCAGCCAAGGTCCTCTTTCAGTACTAAGAGAAACAGTATGTATGTGTGAAGCCACTTTGAGCCCTCAACCAACCTAGTAATCCTAAGGTTTAACAAGAACACTTAGCCCACATGATTGATTAACATTTCTCTGTTCATCTATAGATCATGCATTCTCTCCTAGAAAGAGTGAGCACTTCTGCATGCCACAAAGCAAAACAGACCCTCTTGCACAACCCCTAGGCACTAAGGAACCAGACCCCCTTGTACCACCTACCAGCACTGTGATGACATCTATAGCTAGCAGCACCAAGTGTGCATATAGTCAAGAAATGTTACAGACCAATGTAGTCCCTTTACTGGTTCACTGTCCTGACATTAACAACCTGTAGGCAAGACAGAAACCTCGGAATTGGCATTTGTACTAGAATCCACCTTCTCCGTAGGTGGCCAATCTCCTGATAAAGATCATGTTCTGTTCCAGTCAACACCTGCCTCGCTAGTATTGACTTCTGGGAGTTCTAGGTAGCCAGAACTGGGTTTTGGAAACAGAGAAGGGTATTTGAACACAGAGGCACACACACAGAGCAACCCATCCATGTGAAAAAGCAATTCTAGGGATACCTGAGTGGCTCAGTGGTTGAGTGTTGGCCTTTGGCTCAGGGTGTGGTCCTGGGATTCCGGGATCAGTCCCATATTGGGCTCCCCTTGAGGAACCTGCTTCTTCCTCTGTCTATGTCTCTGCCTCTCTGTCTCTTGTGAATAAATAAAATATTTTTTTAAAAAAGAAAAAGCATACCAACTGCAAACATTGTTTTTCTTCATCAGGTAGAGTGGTTAGAAGCTTTTCACTTTTTTTGTTTTAAATATTTTATTTATTTATTTGAGAGAGAACTAAAGGAGCACAAGCAGAGGGGAAAGGAAGAAGCAGGCTTCCCTCTGAACAAGGAACCTGATGTGGTGCCTGATTTCAGGACCCTGGGATCATGAACTGACCTGAAGGCAGACGCCTAACTGACTGAACCACCCAGGTGCCCCAGAGGTTTTCACTTTCAATGTTCATAAAGGAGTAATAATCCATTAATAATAGAAAATCAGACGCTCTAGACTTATTTAATGAAGATAACACATGAGTATTGATAAATTTTGTAGCTTCTGTTCTGAAATCCTACAGCTGTAGAGGAGATTCATGTGAATAACAAGAACGGTAACTGCCCTGTCTTCAGGAACCACAACTAGTGGATGGAATGTTTTACTTTGTGTCTATTTTACCCAGATACGTCTTAACTAATTCTTGGGCTACCACCAAAGTGTCTGAGTCAGTAAGTCTCACTTGTGGGCTTAACATGAGCATTTCTAATGAATTGGGTGAAGCTAATGGAGAGAGTCAATGCAGAGATGAAACTATGAAAACAGGTTATTTAGGCAAGGTCAGGCTGACTCCCTCCAGGCTTCAATACAGGGAGGCTGTAGATCTACAGGCTATGATGAGCAGCAGAGCAAAGGGTTCAAATGCACGTCTGCTGAGTGTCTCTGCAGTGAGCCAGGCAGGCTAAAGGCTTAAAGGGCTAGAGTCCCAGGGTCTCCACTGCAGAACTGTGCACAGGAAGACACTTTGCCACCTGATTCTTTTGCTTGAAAGTGCAAATCTACAAAGAGACCACTACATGCAGGTGGCTCCAATGCCCTAGCCACCTACATAAGCAAATTGAAACTTAACCTGGAGCAAATTCTTGTAAATGCCTCAATGGTGAAACCAAAAAAAAAAAAAAAAAAAAAAAAAAAAAAAAACCCAAACACACACAGTCATCTGTATTGCTCTCCATGCTGGGCATGGAGTCTACTTAAAGCATCCACTTAGAACAAAAACACAAAACAGTCAACTAGAGTTTCCCAAATAAGACCTTAAGCTATAAGCAATCATATAAATTATAGCTTTGTTTCCCCTTTGAGTCTACAAAAGCCATTTCCACATTTGATTTGGTGCTGTCTGAATGGATTTGGTGTTTGTTCAGATAAATTCTTTGAAATTTTCAAATAACTCACTTCATTTAAGAGAGCTAATAAAAAAAAAAAACTCCATAGAACACAGCCTTGCTCAATGGTGTTCTTATTTTTCTTTTTAAGATTTTATTTATTTATCCATGAGAGACATAGAGAGATGCAGAGAAAGAGGCAGAGACACAAGCAGAGGGAGAAGCAGGCCCCATGCAGGGGGCCCGACATAGGACTCAATCCCAGGTCTCCAGGATCACGACCCAGGCCAAAAGCAGGTGCTAAACTGCTGAGCCACCCGGGCTGCCCCTCTTATTTTTTTTTAAGATTTTTATTTATTAATTCATGAGAGAGAGGCAGAGACACAAGCAGAAGGAGAAGTAGGCTCCATGCAGGGAGCCCAACATTGGACTCAATCCCGGGACTCCAGGATCACGCTCTGGGCCAAAGGCAGGCGCTAAACCACGGAGCCATCCAGGGATCCCCAATGGTGCTCTTATTACTCAGGGCTCCTAGGATGCCAGGGTGGCTCAGTGGTTGAACGTCTGTCTTCAGCTCAGGGCATGATCCCGGGGTCCTGGGATCAAGTCCCACATTGGGCTCCCCTCAGAGGCTTGCTTCTCCCTCTGCCTGTGTCTCTGTCTCTGTGTGTCTCTCATGAATAAATAAATAAAATCTTTTAAAAAGAATGAGGGCTTCCCTTCTGGCCAATTAATTATTGCACCTGGTCTCCTCGTCTCACAAAATCACCTCTCCTTGTTTCCATTTTGACATAGAATATAACTTAGTAAATCTGTTTTCATGTTTCCTGTGTTTTCTTTGAACATAATACATGGCATTTGAAGGCAGGACTTCTTGTCTTCTGCCTGCATTTCTCCCATGCATCTACCAAAGTTTCTGAGAAACCAATATGTACTCAATGCATATTTGTTAGAACAATGAATAAACAACATTTCAATTTTACTTGCATTTTTATTCCAAGCATCTTACATTGCTTCCTTAACTCTCCCTCCAAAGTGGTGTGAAAATTAGTAAAGAAAACCATATTTAAATATTTATATTTCTATTTATGATAGACACAGAGAGAGAGAGAAAGAGGCAGAGACACAGGAGGAGGGAGAAGCAGGCTCCATGCTGGGAGCCCGACGTGGGACTTGACCCCGGGACTCCAGGGTCGCGCCCTGGGCCAAAGGCAGGCGCCAAACCGCTGAGCCACCCAGGGATCCCCAAGAAAACCATATTTAAAATGGAGATCTAGGGATGCCTGGGTGGCTCAACGATAAGCATCTGCCTTTGGCTCAGGGCATGATCCTGGGGTCCCAGGATCGAGTCCCGCATCAGCCTTCCTGCATGGAGCCTGCTTCTCCTGCCTATGTCTCTGCCTCTCTCTCTCTCTCTGTGTCTCTGATGAATAAATAAAATCTTTAAAAATAAATATATAAATAAAATGGAGATCTAATAGAGTGCCTGGGTGGCTCAGTCCTTGAAGCATTCAGCTTTTGATTTTGGCTCAAGTCATGATCTCAGGATTATGAAAGTTAGCCCCACATTGGGCTCTACCCTCAGCAGGGAGTTTGCTTGAGAGCCTCTCTGTCCCTCCCCCACTCATTCTCTCTCTCTCTTTCTCTCTCTCTCTCTCTCTCTCTTTAAAATAAATAGAATCTATTAAATGAAATGGAGGATTCACACAGGGAGGAATAGATAATCAGCAGGGAAAATGAGTATTATTTTTATTTTGAAGAGGGAGGATGCTTTCTCAGTACAAATTTAATCTCCTGTTTTGAAAAAAAGGATGATCTCTACTTGCCCCAGGAACCACACACTAACCAGGACATGCAGCCAATGAAAAACTGTCACAACTGGAAACTTTTTCTTCGATGAACTTTTACTGATAGCAAACCTCCCACCTTCTTATTAAACCCTAATAAAATCTGACTTTAGCTTCTAACTCTTCAGTCTTGATTGTGGTTTGTCGTGGTTGCTAATCCCCAGTTGAAATTCCTCTATTAGTCCTGAATAAACTCAGTTTTCTAGTAAAATAATTGGTTATTTACTCATAGAGATGACAGTAGCATTGCTCAATGTTTTCAACAATGAGAAAGTCACATTTTAGAGATAAAAGCCTTACCATAGTGACCAAGCACATTGGTCCACCACAGTCACATGCTCCAGTTGATTCTAACTTTTCTCAAACATCTTAGGCTTCTTCTAAAAGCTCTCTAAAGGGGATCCCTGGGTGGCGCAGCGGTATAGCAGCGCCTGCCTTTGGCCCAGGGTGCGATCCTGGAGACCTGGGATCGAATCCCACGTCGGGCTCCCGGTGCATGGAGCCTGCTTCTCCCTCTGCCTGTGTCTCTGCCTCTCTCTCTGTGTGTGTGACTATCATAAAATAAATAAAAATTAAAAAAAAATAAAAGCTCTCTAAAGGGGCACCCCTAGCGGCTCAATGGTTTAGCACTGCCTTCAGCCCAGGGCCTGGTCCTAGAGACCTGGGATTGAGTCCTATGTCAGGCTCCCTGCATGGAGCCTGCCTCTCCCTTTGCCTGTGTCTCTGCCTCTCTCTCTCTGTGTGTGTATGTGTGGCTCATGGACAAACAAGTAAATAAAATATTTTTAAAAAATAAAAAAAGCTCTCTAAGGTCCTCTAAAAAAAAGAAGAAAGGAGGAAGGGAGGAGGAAGGAGGAGGGCGGGAGGAGAAGGAAGGAGGAGGGAGGGAGGAGAAGGAAGGAGGGAGGAGAAGAGATGCCTGGGTGGCTCAGCGATTGAGCTTCTGCCTTCAGGTCGGGGTGTGATCCTGGAGGCCTGGGATCGAATCCCACATCAGGCTCCCTGAATGGAGCTTGCTTCTCTCTCTGCCTGTCTCTGCATCTCTCTTTCTCCAAGTCTCTCATGAATAAATAAATGAAATCTTTAAAAAATATAAAATTCTCTGAGGTCATAATTGTTTTTTTTCAGCTCTTATTGATGTGTAGGGAGATAGAATGTGGATTTCCTCATAGCTATTTCTGCCACTATCTTTAAATAGCTCCATAACCCTTATGAACTACTTTCTGAAATGTGCATTTCATTTCATAGCTGTTTTTCTGTGATAACTTTAATTCCTAAAGCAACACAATTGCCAGTGCCTGAGGAAAGAAGAATCACTTCCCAGTAAGGAGATGAGATCACTGAATTCAGATAACCCTTTGTTTCAGGGTTCAGATACTCCCTTTGCACACTCACTGCAACTGAAAATGGCAATATGTGTTTGATTTGAAAAATAGCATCAGTTAAGTTCCACTATGTATGGGGTGATATTAGATTCCTAAAAGAAATTAAGGACATTTGAAATTATGGATTAAGAAATATATGGATACAGTGTTCCTTAATAGAAGGGACACAACCACTATACAGGCAAGAGAGGATTAGTGTGGAGCCAGAGGCTGACTCTGTCACTGACCACTTCATTCAGGGTGGCCTAACATTCCCACTCTTCTTCAATATCAGAGAACTGTAAGGGGTGTAAAAGAGTAAACCACAGGCCTCAAATGGAGTCACTTCTGTTAGGCCATGTCACAAACCAGGTAGTAATTCTAAAGCTCAATGCACTTTCAAACTTCCCCAGAAATTTAGTTCCAAGCTCAGTCAGGAATTTTCTGGTCAGCACCAAAAAGGCAATCTGCCACATGGATGGGCCATCTCAATTCCCAAAGAAATGTGAGATATTCTCCTAATAAGACTCTTTTGTCCCCACAATAAGGTGACCTCACCTGACATAATCCTTTGTTGTTTATGACATTTAGGTCTTATCTCTAAAAACCTATCCCTTTCTGTACAGCTTGGAGCTGCCCTTTACCTGCTGGAAGAGATGCTGCCCAAGTCACAAATCACTGACTGAAGCCAATAGACCTTACAATGTCTTAGACTTAATTTTTGTTGTTTAACACGGACTTCTGTATTCTTCCTAACCAATTCCAAACTGACTATAACGTTTCGGGATACAAGCATTGATGAGCAACATCTTTCCAGCTATGTACTTTCATTTAATATATCTGGAGTGCTGTACGAAATGACATGTAATTTACCTAAATAAAAGGATTTCATTTTATTTATGATAGTCACACACAGAGAGAGGCAGAGACAGAAGCAGGCTCCGTGCACCGGGAGCCCAACGTGGGTAGGATTCCATCCCGGGTCTCCAGGATCGCGCCCTGGGCCAAAGGCAGGCGCTAAACCGCTGCGCCACCCAGGGATCCCTAAATAAAAGGATCTGAGAGCATGTAAAATAATAGTGTCTTGGAAGCTGACCGAACTTCCGGGAGTCTGAAATTTTGACCCTTCGCCTTTAACAAGAAGTGATGCTAGTCCCTCTGGGTAGCAGAAGCACTTTCCTGCAGCCCTCAGGATGCCACGTGACCTCTCCAACTCTACTGGGTGGAGGACACCCCCCCCCCCCAGGGTGCCTGAGCTCTGGGAACTACACCACCCGAAAGAGCCTGGGCACCGAAGGCGCACAATGGGGCCAATGAGGGCACAGGACGCGGCATTACTACGCGGGCGCAATCCCCGGGGGCGGGACTTCCCGCCTCCTCGCGTAGGTACTTTTGCCTCTGGTTGGGTCTGTTTATCCTGTAAATTTGGGTTCTGAGTCAAGGTGACTAACCCTGAACACCCGAAGGTACGTGCTGTCTTCGTCGCACCCAGTGGGGGCAGGGCCCCGCACCGCCTCTCCAGGCCAATGACAGCAGCCGCGCCCAAGGCCCCGACACAGGTAAAAGCTCATCCCCCGGACCCTCCCCGCTCTCCCCGCACCCAGACCCCTAAGGCCCGAGCGCGGGGCGCCTGCTCGTGGCCCTGCGGCCCCGGCCACGCCCCGGCGTTCCGGACAGGGAGGCGCCGGTGTGCGGGGTCCCCGCGGGTGAGCGCCTGCGGGCTGTATTGCTGCCGCGGGCAGCAGGGGAGGGGCGGGCAGGGGCTGACTGCGGGGGTGGGGGTTGGCTTCGTGAGCAGCAGTGAACTGCACGTGTCCATTCTTTCTGTCAAAGCAGGTGCCGCGCGGCCAGTGAGGCCTGCGCCCTCGCTGCCTGACGGGGCCGTCTGTCTTGGCGGTGCTGAGAGGGGGGCGACCCGGGTGTACATAGGCTTTATCTGGCCGCAGAAGGGCACGCCCCGCGGGGGTAAGCGAGGAGGAGGGAATCGCAGGAGTCGGTGGATTGTTGATGGACTCCGTGGCCACCGTGGACGTGGTCAACCGGTTGACTCTGGTCTATGTTTTGAGAAGGGCCGAGGCCGATTGTGGGTGTTGCAGGTGAGAAAAGGAAGGGAGGAGTCAGGGCAAACCCCAGGGCCTTCGTTACGTGAACCTTAAAAAGTGCCAGTTCCCCGCAAAAATGGCTTGATGTAGGAGCGACAGAGAACTGCGGTTTGGAATAAAGCAGCTGAGTCAAAATAGCAGGCCAGTGTGGAGAACAGGAGAGAGGTAGTCTATTTTAAGGGGAAAGGGGGGAAGTTGGGGAGGCTGTTGTAAACTACAAGTCCACTGGAGTAAGTTGGGAGTTGCGGCTTCTCATTGGCTGAGCTGTTGGGTGCGGTGATCAGGAAAGCCTGTCTTTTTGGGGCCTGAGGTAGTGAAGTCGTGTCCCATATAAGGTCAATCCCATCGCTTTCTGTTGGGCCTGCAGTTGATCACATTGGTAGTGCCTGAGAGCTCCCCGAAGTGCAACCTCCCGACTCCAGTTTGTTTGTTTGTTTGTTTGTTTGTTTAAAATTTATGATAGTCATACAGAGAGAGAGAGAGAGGCAGAGACATAGGCAGAGGGAGAGAGAGAAGCAGGCTCCATGCACCGGGAGCCCGACGTGGGATTCGATCCCGGGTCTCCAGGATCGCGCCCTGGGCCAAAGGCAGGCGCTAAACCGCTGCGCCACCCAGGGATCCCCTGACTCCAGTTTAGTGAGGTTTCCCGTTATGAATAGCAGCGGAAGGGATTGAAGCTCCCGTGAACCTGATGGAAGTTGGCAGTATGTTCATTATCCTTTGGGGTGTCCTAACTTGTCTTGACATGGTTAAGCATCTTAGACGTCTTAGGGAAGTGTGAGTGATGGTGTGGAGTGGGCAGCTGGACAGGACATTTTGGGAAACTGGGGGAAAGTTGCAGATTGGAGGCTTCCCAAAGTGATGGCTGTTGTGCGGAGCAGGGGGAGAATTGGGTCCCATTTAGGAAGGGCATGCAGGGACGCCTGGGTGGCTCAGCGGTTTAGCGCCTGCCTTCGGCCCAGGGTGTCATCCTGGAGTCCCGGGATGGAGTCCCACTTCAGGCTCCCTGCGTGGAGCCTGCTTCTCCCTCTGCCTATGCCTATGCCTCTGCCTCTGTCTCTGTCTCTTTGTCTCTCATGAATAAATAAATAAAATCTTAAAAAAAAAAAAGGAAGGGAATGCAGAGAATATTAGCAGTGCTATTAGTAGGTCACTGGGTACTACTAAACTGTGCTGAAGAGTGGTTCTGTTGTTCAGCGTGAGTTTTTATAGTTGCTGGGCATTGCGAACACAGGTGAAGGTAGAGAGAATGATCTGGCAGTCAGATAGGCAAGCCTTCCACAGGGTGATGGATGGAACAAGAGATAGCAGAGGACAACTGGGAGTTTTGGGGGTTTTTTTGTTTTTGTTTTTGTCTGTCTGTTTTAAGGCGGCTCCATGCCCTTGTGGAGCCCAAAATGAGACTTGACCTCTGGACTCTGAGATCAAGAGTCAAATGCTGAACCTACGAGTGTTTGGGAAACAGGGGCTACTATCTTACCAGTTTTGTAGGGCTTCAGCAGAATTTTGGGATCAGCTTTTACCATATTTGGGGTCTTTCAAAGTCTTGCTGCTGGATAAGGTCTGGGCAGATGTGATCATTGCTGCTTCACTGTGCCTGGCAGGGAGACCTTTAGTGCTGGGGTCTTCACAACGGTTCAGTGGACAGTGGTGGGTTCTGATGGTTGAGGGACAGCATGGGCAGCACAGAAGTAGAAGAGGGTCTGTGAGTATCCTAAGTTGACATGTGCTTGTGAGTGCCTGTCATTGAAGGGAGGATTACAGGCAGGTTGAGGAGGGCTTCTCAGCAGCATCTGAGGCTTTCCCTCAGTTGGGATCCATGAGAGTCCTGGGGTGGTAGTGGAGCCATCAAACATCCTTTGGATGACCTGTGACGAGTACAAGAGTGAGTGGTGGGAGAATCGTGTGGTGTGGGGGCAGGAAGGCGTGGGCGTTCATCTGTGGGGTCTGAAGACAGGAGAGAGGTACAGTCTACAGAATCATGTGCACATGGAGAGGAGGTGTGAGCCAAGGACCTCAGGGTCCTGATATTGAGGACTCTCTGGTAAAGCAGGGCCCATACCTGGCTGTCTCGGGGCATAATCTGGGAGCCTTCATTTGGAATATCGTGACAGGGAGATGGGACCTTGCAGGCCACACCCAGAGCTTAGATTGCACCTACATGTCCTGTGTCTGTTACTACTGAGGACTGAACAGTGATTGACGGGAAGGCGAGAGGAGTGCAGCATTAGTGGCACCAGGACCTGGCATTTATCTTACAGTGGGGAGCTGAGGTGGCAGGGGAGACTGGGGTGCTTTGGGGGGGGGGTTGGATTGTGGGTTCTCAGAGAGAGAGAGAGAGAATGTTCATGGTTCCATCTGTCGCTGTCCTGACAGGGTGGCGTGACCTTTGAGGACATTGCCGTGTACTTCTCCTGGAAGGAGTGGAGACTTCTGGATGAGGCTCAGAGACGGCTGTACCACCATGTGATGCTGGAGAACTTTACACTTATATCCTCACTGGGTAAGGCCTTCACCGTCCTCATTCACCTGGAGTAGTAGACTCTGTATTCCACATCCCCCTCCTCCCTTTTCCAGGGGATGGTTTGTCCTTCTCATGTGTGGCCTGTGGGCACTGCTTGCTTCCCCAGCTTTCTGGGTAGTTGCTTTTGTGGCTAGCTCTGAGTTGTTGGTGTGCCCTTTCCTCTGCCCTGCAGTCCCTGTACCCTGTGTACTGAACCCTGAGGGTGACATTGGAGGTCAGTAGTCCTGCAGTGAGGCTGATGGATTGCACCTGGCTTGCCCTCTGCCCGCTGGGTACATGTGTTCAGATCCGTGCCATTTCTGTGGCCTGGCTTTTGATGCCTTGCTTTAGGTGACATTTCCTTGTGCCTGCCTGTGCCTGAAACTGCAGGCATTGGCATGTTTACGTCTTAAGTGGACCATGGGCTACTTCTCAAGAGTGTCCTCTATGGTTCTTTCTGTGGCGTTTACATCTCTTCTACTCTCTGCCTTCCCTTGAGCTTTAAGATATTATTGACAGATAAGATTATATCAGTGAAATTACATTATATGATAGTTTTTGATATACCTTATAAGATTGGTGTAGTTTTTTTTAGATTTATGTATTTGAGAGAATGAGAGGGAAAAAGTGTGTGTACTTGCACGTGCAAGCAGAGAGTAAAGGAAAGGAAGAGAGAAGCCTAAGCTGACTCAGTGCTGAGAACGGAGCCTATGGTGGGGCTCGATATGAGGACCCTGATATCACTACCTGTGCAGAAACCAAGAAATTGGATGCTTAAACCACTGCACTACCAGACACCCTTACTTTATGAAATTAACAAAATGAGGGACACCTCGGTGGCCCAGGTGTTGAGCGTCTGCCTTTAGCTCAGGGCGTGTTCTCAGTTCCAGGATGGAGTCCCACTTCGGGCTCCTTGCATGGAGTCTGCTTCTCCTTCTGCCTGTCTCTGTCTCTCTCTCTTTCTCTGTCTTTCGTGAATAAATAATTCTTAAAGAAAAAAACAAAACAAAAACAAAATGAAGTTATAACACACCATCACTTAACATAATTATCTTTTTTGATCGTGATAGTGAGTCAAGAACTTAATACCTATCCTGTTATCAAAATCAAGTGTCGAATACAATATTAACGACTGTAATCAACCTGTTGTACATTAGAATCTCAGAACTTCCTTATCTTGTAAGTGAAGATGTGTACCCCTAACAACATCTCCCCATTTCCCTGAGTCCCTAGCTTCTGGCTTCCTACTTTGTTTACAGGAGTTTGATTTATTTCTTTTTTTTTATAAGTATTTTTATATAATACTTAGATAAGTGATACCCTACAAGGTTTGTGTTTTGCTGTGTGCTGTTTTGACTTTGCATGATGTTTTCCAGGTCCATCTGTGGAAAGTGACTATGTTGCCTTCTTTTTTTTATGGCTGAATATTCCTGTGTGTGTGTGTGTGTGTGTGTGTATGTGTGTGTACTAAATTTTCCTTGTCTCTTTATTTCATTTATTCATTTAAATACAATTTATTTTTTTGGGCTGCCCCAGTGGCTCCGTGGTTTAGCACCGCCTTCAGCCCAGGGTGTGATCCTGGAGACCTGGGATCGAGCCCCACATCAGGCTTCCTGCATGGAGCCTGCTTCTCCCTCTGCTTGTGTCTCTGCCTCTCTCTCTCTCTCTCTTTCTCTCTCTCTCTTTCTGTGTCTCTCATGAATAAATAAATAAAATCTTAAAAAAAATTATTTTATTTTTTACATATACTCCATAACAGTGTGGGGCTTGCACTTAAAATGCCAAGATCAAGAGTCACATACTTTATGGACAGAGGCAGCCAGGCTTGCCTCCTTTGTCACTTTAAACATTCATACACACTTACTGATGTTTCCATTTATTTACTGTTACGAATAATACTTCAGTGAATATCCATGTTCAGATACTTATGGAGATACCGATTTTGTTTCTTTGGGATACATAACTAGAAATGGCAATGGTGGACTATATGGTAATTGTATTTTAAATTTTTGGTGGGTTGCCCTAATGTTTTCCATAATGATTTCCCTATTTCCATTTCCAGTAGCAGAAATCAAATGTTATTTTCTCTGCACATCCTGACCAACATGTTACTTCTTGTCTTTTTGGTAAGAACCATTGTAACAGGTAGGAGGTGATAACTTATGGTTTTGGTTTGCATTTCCCTGATGATCCTGATCACAGGTTACTCATTTGTACATCTTTTTTCACTGTCATGTATTTCATTGGCTCTGCTGTAACTTTTCAATTTGATATAGTGGTATTGTTACTTGTTGGTTTTGTTGTTTATGCTTTAGATGTCATATTCAAAAAATCATTGCCAGGAATAAGATTAAGGAGGCTTTTCTCTATGTTTTTTTTTAGGAATTTTAATTTAAGGTCATATGTTTAGGTCTTTAATCAGTTGCAATTTCATTTCCCTGTGTGCTATATGATGGGGATCCAATTTCATTGTTTTTTTTATTGAAATATTCAGATTTCACAACAGTATTTTATTATTATTTTTAAAATATTTTTTTATTTGAGAAAGAGCAATTGAATGCATGCACAAGGAAGGGAATGCCAGATGGGGAGAGAGAGAAAATCAAGCAGACTCTGACCTAAACACAGAGCATGAAGTTGTGCTTGATCCCACAACCATAATAAGATCACCACCTTGGCTGAGACCAAGCGTCAGATGCTTAATTAACTGTACCACTCAGGCGCCTATTTTTAAAAAATATTTTGCTTATTTATTTTAGAGAAAGAGAAAGAGGGACAGCAGGGAAAGGCTGAGGGAGAGGGAGAATGATTCCAAAGCAGATTTTCTGTGGACCATGGAGTCCGATGCAGGCTCCATCTCACAACTGTGAGTTCATGACCTGAGCCGAAACCAAAAGTCTAACACTCAACAGACCGAGCCACCCAGGCACCCCTCACAATGGTATTTAAAGATTTGTTTATTGGGGTGCCTGGGTGTCTTAGTTGGATAAGCATCTGTTTTTGATTCAGGTCATGATTCCAGGGTCCTGGGATCAAGCTCCGCATCGCTCCTCCCACTCCTCCCTGCTTGTGTTTTCTCTTTTTATCTCTGTTTCTCTCTCTTAAATAAAGTCTTTAAAGAATAGTAATAATAGGGGGATCCCTGGGTGGCTCAGCAGTTTGGCGCCTGCCTTTGGCCCAGGGCGTGATCCTGGAGTCCCAAGATCGAGTCCCGTGTCGGGCCCCTGGCATGGAGCCTGCTTCTCCCTCTGCCTGTGTCTCTGCCTCTCTCTCTCTCTCTCTCTCTATGTCTATCATAGATAAATAAATAAATCTTAAAAAAAAAAAAAGAATAGTAATAATAGTTAACTTATTTTTTTTAAGATTTATTTATTTATTTGAGAGAGAGAGACCAAGATAGGAGAGGCAGAGGGAGAGGAAGATAGACAATCCCAAGCAGCTCCTAGCTAAACAATGTGGAGATTGCTCTCACCACCCTGAAATGAGAACCTGAGCTGAAACTAGGAATTGAAGCTGAATCAACTTCCCAGGCCACCCAGGCTCCCCTGAGATTTCACAACATTATTAAAGAGATTTTTCTGCCCCATTGTGGGTTTTGGCATAATTGTAAACAATTAGTTGACTATATATGTGTGTGTTTACTTCTGGGATTTTTCTTCTATTCCCATTGTCTGTTTTTAAGCCAGTACCCTATTATTCTGAATACTATAGCTTTGTAATCTAGTTTTGGAATCAGAAATGTCCTGCCTTCAGATTTGATTTTCTTTCTCAAGATTGCTTTGGCTTGGGATATTACTCAGCCATTAGAAACGACAAATATCCACCATTTACTTTGATGTGGATGGAACTGGAGGGTATTATGCTGAGTGAAATAAGCAATCAGAGAAGGACAAACATTATATGGTCTCATTCATTTGGAGAATATAAAAAATAGTGAAAGGGAATAAAGGGGAAAGGAGAGAAAATGAGTGGGAAATATCAGAGAGGGAAACAGAACATGAGAGACTCCTAACTCTGGGAAACGAACAAGGGGTGGTGGAAAGGGAGGTGGGTGGGGGATGGGGGTGACTGGGTGACAGGCACTGAGGGGGGCACTTGATAGGATGAGCACTGGGTGTTATGCTATATGTTGGCAAATTGAACTCCAATTAAAAAAAAAAAAGATTGCTTTGGCTTTAGCCTTTAGTTGAATTGGTGACGGTGATACTGGAGCAGGCAGCTGGAGTCTCTGTTGAGCAAGGATTCCAGTAGTACCTGCCCTGTGGCTGATGGAGATAGCCTCAGCCCTTATTTCCCACCCATCCCCATTTGTCTCTGCTAATACACTGTCCAGCTTTCTTTTCTGTGTCCTTGTGCCCTTTTTTTTTTTTTTTATGACAGTCACAGAGAGAGAAGGAGAGAGAGGCAGAGACACAGGCAGAGGGAGAAGCAGGCTCCATGCACCGGGAGCCCGACGTGGGATCCGATCCCGGGTCTCCAGGATCGCGCCCTGGGCCAAAGGCAGGCGCCAAACCGCTGCGCCACCCAGGGATCCCCCTTGTGCCCTTTTTAAGCTCCACTGTGTACTACCCAGTCTTAATGGCACTTTTGAGCTCCCTGAGATAATGGTATTCATAGATGACTGTTAAATTAATTTTTCTTGGGGTGAAAGATGGTATCTCCTATTCTACCATCCTCTTTGGGACAGTTTGGTTGTCCATGTGCCTATTTTCCTACAGTATTTTTTTAAGATTTTATTTATTTATTCATGAGAAACAGAGAGAGGCAGACATAGGTAGAGGGAGTAACAGGCTCCTCGCAAGGAGCCTGATGCAGGACTCGATCCTCGACCCCAGGAGGATCCAGGGATCTGAGCCACCCAGGCATCCCTCCTACAGTATTTCTATCATCATGGTACTGTGTGGTTTTCAGCTTGAGCTTCCAGGGTAGAATCCTGTGTGTATCATAGTATGGACATGCAGCAGACATGACAGGTGATCTCCTAGGGGCCCTGTTTTTGGCAAATCTCAGCTGGGAAAGGCGTGAAATTAGGCTTCTATTCAGATCATACTGGGCACCTTTGTTCATCCAGAGTTTGGTGTGATTGCTGATGGACACACCCCTTTTCCATGTTTCCTTCCTATGAGGCTTGTAGTACAAGGAATTGTTAGGCTGAAAACACTTTTGCCATCACTCCAAGGTCAGGATCTTACCCTACCACTGTTTCAGAAGACCAGTCAGCTGTACCAATTGATGAGAATGTTAGCTCTATAGAGCTCTCTTTGGTATTCATATTCACATCCACTGCTGCTTTCTTACAAGTTTTTAACATACAAGCAGTCTAGAATCTTTATTCTTAGTGGACCAAACTTTTTTTTTTTAATTTTTTTTAACTTTTATTTATTTATGATAGTCACAGAGAGAGAGAGAGAGAGGCAGAGACACAGGCAGAGGGAGAAGCAGGCTCCATGCACCAGGAGCCCGACGTGGGATTCGATCCCGGGTTTCCAGGATCGTGCCCTGGGCCAAGGCAGGCGCCAAACCGCTGCGCCACCCAGGGATCCCTTAGTGGACCAAACTTAATGTCTGTGACAGACATAATCTCTTAGAAACTGAAAAAGTCCATCGTTACTAGTTTGGTCCAAATCCATAGAAAAAAAATCCCACTTTCCTATTTAAAAATTCTAGTATTAAGCTGTAAGCAAAAAAGAATTATGGGCCCCTGGGCAAAGATACGTGTAATCCTGAATTTTATTTTCCACTCAATAAACAAGATTCCTAAAAATAAATAAATAAACACGAAAAAAAAATCACCAGTCACGGCTGGGTGATTCCGAATCCCCAGAATCAGACTTTTGGCCTCACTCTTTGCCCCCAGTGCCACCTACCCATGAGCTGCAAGGATGTCACTAAAAATGGCTAGTCACCCAAGGGCACGTCTTCCCCCTCCTTCCTTGCTAGAGGAATGTGTGTCTACGTGGACCGTGTCTGATGATGGGAAAAGAGTGTTTGGTGAATGCAAATGTTCTTTTAACTCAGCTTTTGCCCCTTGGCAAAGATTAAGCAAATGGGCTCCAGGTTCTGTGGCCTCTTATCCCACCTCTTGTCCCTCCCCTCTCTCAAAGTCTCCAGAGAGGCCACAAGAGAGTCGGGCAGGGCTCCCCCAGGCACCAGCCCACAGAGATCCTCTGCTTCTCTCCTGCTGAAGGGAAGGGAGATCTTAAGGTTGGGAAGGGTGGCAGGGCCTTGTACCCATCTGTGGACACGCAGTTGGTAGAGAAATAAAGGTTGAGTACCTGTGGCAACAACAACAACAACAAAAAAAAATGGTGATTGGGTGTTTTTTTTTTTTCAATTTGGTTTGTTTTAATGAAACTGGCAGAAGTCTTAGCACACAGGTAATCAAAGACTAAATTACTAGCTTCTAGGCATTTTAAATATTTAAAACCTTGAGGTTTTATTCATCTTGTAAACATAACTTAGACCTTGTTGGCATTAAGTTTGAAAAGTAAAATATTAAACCATGATTTTCATCAGCCTGCCTGTGGTCAGTATACACTCTCTTTATTATGAGAATGAAACCAAGTAATAAGCAAAATACATCAGGAATTTCAAATTATACTGTAAAGAAGGTCCCGGCTGCCCTCTCTCCTGGGAGCGATCTAACTTATGCTGACCCTGCCACTGGCTGAGGATGATCCCCACTGTCCACCAGACAGCACAATGCCCCAGCCGCGCCACCGTCAGTTCCTCTTGCTCCATGTCTTCTGAAGCAGTAAGACTGCCTCCACCTCTGCTGGCTCCGCCGTCCTTCATTGGGCTTGGATTCACTGGGTCAGTGGTTTGTGACTCCTGTCAAGACTCCTGTCAAGAGTAAACTTGACAATTTGTGGATTCTGGGTTCTCATCCTTTGGTAACTACATAACTTCCAGTACAGGAGTAATCGGTGCTCCTCAGGCCTCCACATCTCATTCATTCCTCTCACTGGTCTTTCTGTGTACTCTAGCATTCACTGAATGTTTTACCATGAGACATTCACATGTCCTTATTTTTAAAAATTTTTTTCTAAAGATTTTCTTTATTAGAGCACAAGCAGGGCAGGGATCAGAGGGAGAGGAAGAAGCAGGTTCCCTGCTGAGCAGGGAGCCCGGTGTAGGATTCAGTCCCACGTCTCTGGGACCATGACCTGAGCCGAAGACAGGTAAATAACTGAGCCACCCAGGTGCCCCATTTACCTGTTCTTAAACTGATATTGAACAACTGCAAAATTTAGTGTGATTGAATTCTTCTACAACTTTGTACTTAGATAAGTATCACCAGCAGAAGTGGTCCTAAACTAAGTTGTGGGAGGAGAAGTAAGGTTTAGACCCCTTGGCTCTCTTCCTTGTGTCATACCCTAGTTTGATATCCTTTTGGTGGGATCTCCATAACAGTTTGACTTTCAAGGCACAACAATGCACAGCAGCCACTCTTTCAACTGAATTTCATCTCCAGTGTCTGGAAACCATGCCATACACTCATTCTCAGGTGAGACAGTGGCATGTATAAATGTATGTGACTGTCATGTATGTGACAGTGGCATGTGATGGGGTGAGCCCCCTGCTATAGTCAACACATATTTTACCAGCATTTCCTTGCATTCAGGTTGCTGCTGTGGAGCAAAGGCTGCAGAGGCACCCATTGAACAGAGTGCTTCTGGAGGCATGTCACAGACCAGGACACCCAGGGCAACTCTGTCTTCCTGGATGACCCACCCCTGTGAGATGTGTGGTGCAGTCTTGAGAGACATTTTCCACTTGGCTGAGCATCAGGGAAAAGAAAGGAGTCAGAAACTGTTGAGGTGCAGGGCATGCGGGAAACAATTTTATTTCAGTATAAAGTTTCAACAACAGGAACATCACGTGAAACAAAAACCATTCATAAACATGGACACAGTATCTTTTGTAAAGAGCTGGGGAATCCATGATTCTGGGAAGTCCTTTGCCTGTGTGGAGGTTCAGAAGGACTTCCTGTCTGGCTTAGGGCATCTACAGCAAGAGGCCACTGAGTGGGGAGAAGTCAAACACAATTACACAGTGCAGGACATCTTTACAAAGCAGAAAAAGTCATTATCCTTGGGGAGAATGCAAGAATGCCTTCGGTTACAAACATTCACATATTCAGGACCAGAGTGTCCACCTTGGAAGACAGTACTTTATGTGCAGTGACTGTGGGAAAATGTTCAGGTACACATCCTTATTTGTGATACACCAGAGATTTCATATAATAGGAAAAGAACATTATGAATTTGAAAAATATGGAAAATCCCTTTGGCAAATGTCAACCCATAGTCAACATGAAGATATTCACAGTGGATCCAAGCAGTACACATGCAGCAAATGTGGGAAATCCTTAAACCGCAAATTTGTCATTTATCCCCAGAAATGGCACAATGGGGTGAAGAGTAATGATTGCATTACATGTGCAAAATCTTTAATCCATAGATCAGGTTTTATTACTTACAGGGTTCAGCCTAGAGAAAGGTTTTATAAGTGTAGTGGCTCCACAAAATATTTTACATTTATGTAAAATTATCAGAGATCTCCATTATCATCAGAGATCTCACACAGGGAGAAGACTTTATGAGTGCAGTGAATGTGGGAAATCTTTTACCACTAATTCTGTCCTCCATGCTCATGGGAGAGTTCACACTGGAGAAAGGCCTTATGAGTGCAGTGAATGTGACAAGTCCTTTCTGCGAAAATATAGCCTCAAAGTACATATAAATGTTCATTCAGGTGAAAAGCCTTGTAAGTGTAATGAACGTGGGAAATCTTTTAAGTGGAAGTCAACACTGATTAAACACCATAGAATTCACACAGGAGAAAGGCCTAATGAGTGCAGTGAATGTAGGAAATCTCTTATCTATAGCACTCACCTTCATTATCACAGAATTCACATTGGAGAAAGGCCTTATGAGTGCAATGAATGTGGCAAGTCCTTTATCTGATGAAATATCCACAGGTACACAAAAAAATTCACTCAGATGAAAGCCTTTATAAGTGAAATGATTGTGGGAAGTCTGTGAAATGTAAGTCAACATTGATTAAATACCAGAGAATTCACACTGGAGAAAGGCCTTATGAGTATAATGAATGTGGGAAGTCTTTTACTACTAATTTGGCCCTCTGTTATCACCATAGAGTTCACACTGGAGAGAGACCTTATAAGTGCAGTGAATGTGGCAAGTCCTTTGTCAGAAAAAATAGCCTGAGTGTATGCCTAAAGGTTCACTCAGGTGAAAAGCCTTATAAGTGTAATGAATGTGGGAAATCGTGGAGGTGTAAATCAACATTCATTCAACACCAGAGAATTCACACAGGAGAGAGGCCTTATGAGTGCAGTGAATGTGGGAAATCCTTTACCAGTAGATCTGCCCTTCATTCTCACCAGAGAGTTCACACTGGTGAATGGCATTATGAATGCACTGATTGTGGGAAATCTTTTACTACTACTTCTGACCTTCATTCTCACAAGAGAGTTCACAATAGTGAAAGGCCTTATTTGTGCACTGAATGTGGCAAGTCCTTTATCCAAAGAAACACTCTCAATGTACACGTGAAGGTTTATGCCAGTGAAAGTCTTTATAAATGTAATGAATATGGCACATCTTTGAACTATAAGTCAACATTGATCCAACTCCAGAGAATTCACACAGGAGAAAAGCCTTATCTGTGCAGTGAATGTAGGAAGTCTTTTAGTTATAGCCGTACCCTCCTATATCATTGTCAGAGTCACCTTGCAATAAGCCCTTATGATTGGAGTGAATGTGGGAAATCTTTTACTTGTAGTTCTTCTCTCTATGATCACAAGTGAGTTCACACTGGAGAAAGGCCTTACAGATGACAAGAATGTGGGAAGTCTTTCACTGCTCGTTCCCTCCTCCATTCTCACCAGAGACTTAACACTGGAAAAAGGCCTTATGAGTGCAGTGAATGTGTCAGGACCTTCCAAAGAAATATCCTCAATGTACACATAAAGGTTCATTTGGGTGAAAAGCCTTATTAAGTGTAATGAATGTGGGAAATTGTTGAAGTATAAGTCGACATTCGTTCAACACCAGAGAATTCACACAGGAGAGAGGCCTTATGGTTGCAGTGAGGGAAATCTTTTATTAGTTACAGTGCTCTTAGTTATCATCACAGAGTTCACAATGGAGAGAGACCTTAGGAATCCTGAAGATGTGGGAAAACTTTCAGCTAAATTTCTTTTTTTTTTTTTTAAGGATTTTATTTATTTATTCATGACAGACGCAGAGAGAGAGAGGCAGAGACACAGGCAGAGGGAGAAGCAGGCTCCATGTAGGGAGCCCGATGTGGGACTTGATCCTGGGACTCAAGGATCACGCCCTGGGCTGAAGGCAGGCACTAAACCACTGAGTCACCCGGGGATCCCCTTCAGCTAAATTTCTAATCTCATTCAACTTGAGAAAGTACACAGTAGATAAAGTTCTTAATAGGTGATAATATGAACTGAATGGTTATGTTCACTAATGGTGACATGTCGAATCCCTGTCCTCTAATGCAGTAGGAGTAGCAGGTTCTGTCTTTTGAAGGTAATATTTATTAGAATGGGTCATGTGTGTAGATCCCTAATGAATGGTATTGATGTTTTATAAGAATCTGAGATCGCTAGCTTCCCCTACCAATCATGTGAGGACCCTTTGAGAAGATCTCCAATCAATCAGGAAGCTGGTCCTTGCCAGACACAAAACCAGACCATATGGGGAATGTTATGTGAGGTACCCAGCTTCCAGAACTGAGAAATAAATAAATGTTGCTTACAAGCCACCCAGTTTATCATATTTTGTTAGAGCAGCCTGCGCTCAGACAAACATGAAGAATATGGGTAATTCTTCGGGCAAAGATACTGTTTCAGAGAAATCAGAATACACTCTGGAGCAAGGCCACATGATTAAGGTGAAGGACACCATTCCTTTCACCAAACTTCTGTCTTTATTCCACATCTGAGAGTTCACACTACAGAAAGGCTTTAAAATGGCAGGGAAGATGATATTTCCTTCCCTAGTATATGATGCTGAGAACCTTTATGAGGCAGCCATCTTCCCAATTTGAGCTTTGTTCACCTGAATGTCCACAATGGAATGACTTCCTTAGGTTCCAGGTATTTGAGAAAAATTTGGAAGTTGTACTCTGTGATCTGATGTATTCAAAGTCCTTGCTGGAAGTCACTGCCAGATCCTGTGGCAGACGTCCTTTCACCTCAGCCACCTTGATGGTCCCAATAGTGAACTTCTGTCACCACCCATATGCTCAACACCATATGCATTATCCATTAGTGATGCTGACCTTTGCTTTGTCATTAGCTGATGGCAATTATGGGTGTTTAGAACTCCTTATTCCCTGCTATGTTAGGGCATGGATGTGAGCCAGTGTTGACCCTCAGTACCTCATCAATATTCTGGGTGGTGTTTTGCCGAGAATGAGTAAATCTGGTAGGGGCATTGTTGGTCTCCTGAGGATTGTGATAAATCTTTGTGGCTTCCAAGTCAGCAACAGAGGAATTAGGTGCTAAGTGTTGCTCTCCTTTAGGTATTGCTGTCTTTTTGATTGAATTACCATGAATCTTAGGTATCAGATTCACGCTAAGGGGTGGTTTGAAATTAGAATTGGGCTCTGCCAGCACATAGGAGATTCATTGTCTCCCAAATTTACTGTATCTCCGAACGGATGATTGCAAATAAATAATACATATGTACGTCAGTTCTACTCTTCAGCTTGGGCCTCAATTTGTATTGAAACTCAAGACCTTTGTTATGGGCTGAATTCTGTACCTAAAATTCACATGTTAAAGTTGTAACCCCCAGTACCTCACAATATGGCTTTAGTTAGACAGAGACTCTTTTAAGGAGATGGTGAAGTTGATGGGTTATTAGGATGGACTCTTATGAGATATGACTGGCTTTGTGATAAGTGGAGATGAGGTTACAGGCACACACAGCTGACCATGTGAAGATAGGAAGCCTCTCTATAAGCCAAGGAGTGGAGTCTCAAGGAGCTAACCTTACTGACACCTTATATCCGATTTCTAGACTCCAGATTTGTGGAAAAATAAGTTTCTCTTATTTTCCCAGTGTGCAGTACTGTATTATAACACTTCTAGGAAATACAGCCTCTTAGGATCCACATCTGGGTTTTATATTCTGGATGCCAGGAAGTTTTGAGTGCTCACAGGTCACCCTGAAGAGGGAGCAGCTGAGACCATCTCCAGTGCTTGTGGAGACCATGTGAATATTTTGCTTGTCTACAGCTGATAGCACAGTGCCTTCCACTGTTGAGTGGAACTCTACCTCAGATCCTTCAGAGGAGTTATGTGACCTGATGTACAGTATTCACCTGTGACATCACAGGGGAAGGGGAACTGTAAGTGGTCATCTAGATGACTACGTAATTAGGTAATTAGAGGAGATATCAGGCCCCTAGTGGAGTACATTTGGTGTCAAAGTGTATCCACAGATGTAGTGAGTAGCTGGGCAGGATCAGTGTGCACAGAAATTCATCACTTCAGACACAGGTATCCTGTGTAACAGATCATTGTCATAAAATAATCCAAAAGTCTCTGAATTCTCCTATTTTCTGGGGTGCTTAACGTGTCCAGGCCATTGTGGTGCAGGCAGGAAAAAGCTAAAGACCAGGGAGAACGCATAGTCCAGGGAAGTAGCTTTTGTGACCCAATGGAGGGGAGGGGGGACATCTTCCTTCCAGGTACACCCTAGCATCTACAGCAGAAAAAGGAAATGTAAAAAAAAAAAAAAGAAAGAAAAAGAAAAAGGAAATGTTACTGGAGGTGGTGCAGAGGCCTACTCTTGCTTGGTCAAGATAATCAGTCCCGATGTCCATAAACGATTTCTCCAAGGTGGACTTCTCAGCATTTTTCTCTGGTCTGAGAGCTTGGAGGTGGTTTTGCAAAGATGTCCTTTCAGTCAACACCCTTTTCTTCTTTGGACATATACCAGTATTGATCTCTTCATGTGTTTGAAACATTTGGGTTATTTCCAGGATTTGGGTTATTTTCCGCTTTTGACTTTCACAAACCCCTCTATATATTTTCATTAGATTTCCTTATGCAGGGCACGTTGGTGGCTCAGTTGGTTAAGTGCTTGCCTTTGGCTCAGGTCATGAATCCATGGTTCTGGGATGGAGACCCTATCAGGCTCCCCGCTCAGCAGGGAGTCTGCTACTTCCTTTCCCTCTGCCCCTTACCCTACTTGTTTTGTCTCTTGCTCTCTTTCAAATAGATAGGGCAGCCCGGTGGCTCAGCGGTTTAGCACTGCCTTCAGCCCAGTGTGTGGTCCTGGAGACCCGGGATCAAGTCCCATATCTGACTCCCTGTGTGGAGCCTGCTTCTCCCTTTGCCTGTGTCTCTGCTTCTCTCTCTCTCAGTGCCTCTCATGAATAAATAAAATCTTTTTAAAATTCCATATGCAAATAGAGTCTTCATTTCTCTTCTGTTAAAACTCAGAGTGTGGGGATCCCTGGGTGGCGCAGCGGTTTGGCGCCTGCCTTTGGGCCAGGGTGTGATCCTGGAGACCCGGGATCAAATCCCACATCGGGCTTCCGGTGCATGGAGCCTGCTTCTCCCTCTGCCTGTGTCTCTGCCTCTCTCTCTCTCTCTGTGACTATCATAAATAAATAAAAAATAAAATAAAATTCTCAAGCTCCTAACTTAAAAAAAAAAAAAAAACTCAGAGCGTAATGCCTAAGTCACAGGTAGGTCAGTGTTAACATTTTCATGAATGGGGTCAATATGGGATTCTAAACTTCACTATTGTATTCTTACCAGGCACGTATGAGAGTTCCAGTATTTCCAGTCCCTGTCAATACCTGGTACCGCCAGTCTTTAACGTCCGCCTTTTTATTACGCGTGTAGTACTATGTTCTAATTGCATTTCCTAGGGATTTCTGATGTTGAATATTTTTTCATTTGTTTACTACCTATATGACTTCCTGGGTAAAATTCCAATTTGTATCATTTGCCTGTTTTCTCTCCTCTCTCTCTCTCTCTCTCTCTCTTTTTATTTATGATAGTCACAGAGAGAGAGAGAGAGAGGCAGAGAGACAGGCAGAGGGAGAAGCAGGCTCCATGCACCGGGAGCCCAATATGGGATTCGATCCCGGGTCTCCAGGATCGCACCCTGGGCCAAAGGCAGGCGCCAAACCGCTGCGCCACCCAGGGATCCCTCTCTCTCTTTTTTAAAGATTTTATTTATTTGAGAGAGAACATGTGAGAGAGAACACAAGCAGAGGGAGGGGCAGAGGGAGAAGCTAACTTCCCACTGAGCAGGGTGCTGGATACCTGGCTTGATCCCAGAACCCTGGGATCATGACCTGAACTGAAGTCATGTGCTTAACCAGCTGAGCCACCCAAGTGGCCCTTGTCTATTTTCTTTTATGTGAGTTTAAGCTAGTTCCCTTTTCAATTACAAAAACTATATACATACGGGCAGCCTTGGTGGCTCAGTGGTTTAGCGCTGCCTTCGGCTCGGGTCGTGGTCTTGGGGTCCCAGGGTCGAGTCCATGTCAGGCTCCCTGCATGGAGCCTGCTTCTCCCTCTGTCTGTATCTCTGCCTCTCGCTCTATCTCATGAATAAATAAATACAATCTTTAAAAAAATAGACTATATACATACAACAAAGATAAATGTTAGAATTTTCTCATTCTTACATGGTGTGACATTTTTCTCTATGGAGTCATGGTAATACTGGAAGGCTATTTCTTCATTATTTTTCCAGATTTTTTGTGTTTTGCTCAATATCATGGCCCAAAACACCTTACATGTATAAATCTAGGGTGCATTTTTACCATGACAGCATCATTTTCTTAAGTTTAGGCATTCAGAAAAACAAAAATTCATCCCTCATGTGTAGTGTTTGCCAATATCCAGAGTGTAAATCGCACACACACACACACCCCGCTCCCTTATGAGAACAGGATATGCTCAGAGAAGGTTCTTAGAAACTGCATTTGGGTGTTTGGTAGGAAACCACTCACTGTGGAGGCTGCACGCTGGCTGGGGGTGTGCAGGAGCATCACAGGCAGGATAAGTTAATCCTGACAGGCTGGAGGGACCTCCTTGAACACTCAGGGGTGACTGTAAGGCAGGGGTGTGGGGGACACACCCACACCCACTGGGTTCAGAGTTGCTTCCTCTGATCCCACCTGTACATTGGAAGGATTTCCCACTGTGGAGCACCAGCCTCCAATTAATTTAATTCCTTCTCTTTCTGTAATAGTTGACTGCTGGTCCCCAAAGAGTCGACATTCCGTGCATCTCACCACTGCTCTGGGCTTTGTTTCCAGACCACTGTCTCGGGAAGCTTGCAGGGCTGGCCACTTCCAGCCTCCCTTTGGCCAGAAAGGACTGAGAGACAGGTGGGACAGGGACTGTCCTGAGAAAGACAGGGATTCCCCCCTGGGCAAGACCTCACCCAGAACATCCATATCAGTGCTGACCTCCCTCTCCACCTGAAGGGCCGGAGTCCAGGCAATATAGGGCCTTTACCATAAAGAAAAGGTTTCCTTGGTCAGGCTTGCAGGATCTGCGGAGGCCTTTTATTTCTTCCACACACACTTGGGATCATGGTCTCATCTAGCCAGGAAGGAGCTTGTGGGGTGGTCTGCTGCTGGGTGAGAGGGCAGGAGCGGCACAAAGACAAGACACCTGGCAGTTGTTGGAAGAACCCTCTGGGTTGAGTACCCGTAATTCGCTGGAGCTGACGTTTTCACCATCAATCCTTGAGGCATTGCCCTGCCCAGAGCTCTCTGGCCATTCTTGCTCTCCAGGGACACAGCACAGTCCACAGGTGATCCTACGTTCCTCCCACATGCTCTATCGTGACCACTCTGGTACCTCCTGGCAGTGACGGGGTGTAGATGCCTGGACTAAACTCAGCAGATTAGGTTGTCCACAATTATCTTAAGGGGAAAAAAACCTCAGGAGCTGGTTTGTCAACAAATTCTGACTTCTGACTTTGTTGTAGTTTCGGGGCACAGGGATGCGAGAGCACCTAACCTGGGAGTGCTTTGTTTGACAGATTAGCTTTGGCCACTCTATGGTGACAAAATCCAATGGCAGAGAAAGTTGTGGTGGTGAAACAAGAAAGGAATCTCTTTCAGCCTGACCAACACAGGAAAGACAATAGACTAGCCTTTCAAAGACTGACTCCAGAGTGATGAACAAGAGTTTGAGGTTCATATAAGGAAATATGGGGCCAAGGTGGATAGGTACATGCAAGGAGGCAGTGAACATCAAACAGATCGTTGTCTTGGAGTCAGTGGATTGAGTTTGCTGGCTCAGGGCAATCATTAGTGGTTGAGGGGGTAGTTTGGGTTCTCATCAGGGGATGCTTTGCCATAAGGGTCAATGGTCTGCATCATGAGACCGCTGGAAAGAGAACTCAACTGGAATGTGACCTCAATCTGGTGGCAGCTGAGATTCACTTTTCAGTACTAAGAAAAACAGTATATATGGTTGAAGCCACCTCAGGCCCTTGGGTGACCTAGTAATCTTAGAGTTTAACAAGCATCCTTAGCCTACATGATTAACTTTTTGTTTATCTACAGATCATGCATTCTCTCCTAGAAAGAGCTGAGCACTTCTGCATGCCACAAAGTAAAACAGACCCTCTTGCACACACCCTTGCACCACTGCGATAACATCTATAACTAGAACCATCAAGTCTGCATGTTGTCAAAAAGTGTTAAGGACTGCTGTGCTTCCTTTACTGGCTAACTGCCCTAGAATCCTTTAAAAACGCCTGGGAGGACAGCCTGCGTAGTTTGGGCCACGGCATGATCCTGGAGACCCAGAATTCGAGTCCCATGTCGGGCCCTCTGCCTGTGTCTCTGACGCTGTCTCTGTGTCTCTCCTGAATAAATAAATGGAATCTTTAAAAAAAAATAAAGAATGGTTTAAAAAATAATAAAAACTCCTGGGAGAGGTAGAAACCTTGAGGTTGATCTTTGTACAAGAGTCCACCTTCTCCCCAGGTGGCCAGCCTTCTGAATAAAGCTTTTTCCTTTCCAATCAATACCTCTCTTGGGCAGCCCCAGTGGCGCAGCGGTTTAGCGCCACCTGCAGCCCAGGGCGTGATCCTGGAGACCCTGAATCGAGTCCCACATCAGGCTCTCTGTATGATGCCTGCTTGTGTCTCTACCTCTCTCTGTCTCTATGAATAAATAAATAAAATCTTTTAAAAAAAATACCTCTCTCTTGAGTATTGATTTCCGTAGTGCTAAGCAGCTGAAATTGGGATTTGGTAATATGGGAATGTATGTGAACACAGGCACAGACAGAGCAATCCACCTGTGTGCCAAAGCAATTCTAAAAGGATATCATACGGGGATGCCTGGGTGGCTCAGTGGTTGAGTGTCTGCCTTTGGCTCAGGTCCTAATCTCGTGTCCTGAGGTAATCTGCCACATGATTGGGCCCTCTTACCCAAAAGTTGAGGCATAGCCCTAGAAAGACTATTTTGCCTCACATTAAGGCGCCCTCACCTGATATAATCCTTTTTTTTTTCCTGTTTATAATGTATTTGTCCTATCTTTAAAAACCATTCTGGGTGCCCTGATGGCTCAGTCGGTTAAACATCTGCCTTCAGTTCACGTCATGATCCTAGAGTGTAGGATCCAGCTCCCTGCTCTGTGGGAGGCCTGCTTCTCCCTCTGCCCCTGCTCATGCTCTCTCAAATAACTAAAATATTTTTAAAAGAACAAATAAAAATAAAAATAAAGGAACAACAAAAAACCCTTTCCCTTTCTGTACTGCTTCCTTGAGGCTGCCCTCTACTTGCTAGATGGGATGCTGCCCAAGTCAGAAATCGCTGAATAAAGCCAACAGCCCTTTAGGAGGCAATGTTGAATTTTTTTAAAATTTTTATTTATTTATGATAGTCACAGAGAGAGAGAGAGAGAGAGAGAGAGAGAGAGGCAGAGACACAGGCAGAGGGAGAAGCAGGCTCCATGCACCGGGAGCCCGATGTGGGATTCGATCCCAGGTCTCCAGGATCGCGCCCTGGGTCAAAGGCAGGCGCCAAACCGCTGCGCCACCCAGGGATCCCCAATGTTGAATTTTTATCATTTAGAAGGGAGGTTTCTATTGTTTTCTATTGTTCCTAACTACAAAACGTATTCTAACGCTTCAGGGCGCAAGAATTGATGAAAAACAACCTCTCCAGCAACTCAAAACACACCTTTCTTTCTGAAGTACCTCAAGAAATGATAGGTCATTTACCTCTGCGAAAGGATTGGAGATTTGAGAGCATCTAAAATAATAGTTTTCTCCTTTGAAAACTGTTATGGAGTCTGAAATTATGGCTCTTCTTCACCCTTAATAAAGAAAAAAGCTGGTCCCGCTATAGAAGCAGGATTTCCCGGCAGACCTTAGGATGCCACCAAAAAAAGCCCTGAACCTCCAGGGTGTAGGACCCACTACGGGAGACAGCCAGACCTTCTAGGAACCACACCACCTGGAAGTGCCTGGGCACTGAGGGAGCGGCGAGGAGCCAATGAGGGAATAAGAAGAGGCGTTTATGGGCGGGCGCCGGCCCCGGGGCGGGACTTCCGGCCCATTACGACCTTAGGCTTCTTTTTCCGTTTGTTTACCTTGCCTGGGTTCAGGAAAGCAATTTCGGAAGGATTACTGATCGAGAAGAGGTAAGGGCAGGCTGTCGCTCCAACGCAAGACTGGGGTCCGAGGCTCCGCAACGCTTCTCATGATGAAGACTGGAAAAAGAATGATGGTCCGGGTGTCCGCTCCGTTCCCTCAGCTCTCGGCCCTACTCCGCCTCCCGAGTCCGATGGCGGCGGCCGCGCCCAGGGCCCCGGCGCAGGTAAACGCTCGTCCTCAGGACCCTCCCCGCCCTCCTCGCACCGAGACCGCTAAGGCCCGAGCGCGGGGCCCCTGCTCGTGGCCCTGCGACCCCGGCCCCGGCGTTCCGGACAGGGAGGCGCCGGTGTGCAGGGACCCCACGTGTGACCGCGGGCGCGCTGTATTGCAGGGGAGGGGTTGGCTGGGACGGAGGCTGCGGGGGTGGGAGTTGGCTGCGCCAGCAGCGGGGAGCTACACGGGTCCATTCTTTCTGTCAAAGCAGGTGCCGCGCGGCCAGTGAGGCCTGCGCCCTCGCTGCCTGACGGGGCCGTCTGTCCTAGCGATGCTGAGAGGGGGGCGACCCGGGTGTACATAGGCTTTATCTGACCGCAGAGAAGGGCACGCCCCGCGGGGGTAAGCGAGGAGGAGGGAATCGCAGGAGTCGGTGGATTGTTGATGGACTCCGTGGCCACCGTGGCCGTGGTCAACCGGTTGACTCTGGTCTATGTTTTGAGAAGGGCCGAGGCCGATTGTGGGTGTTGCAGGTGAGAAAAGGAAGGGAGGAGTCAGGGCAAACCCCAGGGCCTTTGTTACGTGAACCTTAAAAAGTGCCAGTTCCCCGCAAAAATGGCTTGATGTAGGAGCGACAGAGAACTGCGGTTTGGAATAAAGCAGCTGAGTCAAAATAGCAGGCCAGTGTGGAGAACAGGAGAGAGGTAGTCTATTTTAAGGGGAAAGGGGGGAAGTTGGGGAGGCTGTTGTAAACTACAAGTCCACTGGAGTAAGTTGGGAGTTGCGGCTTCTCATTGGCTGAGCTGTTGGGTGCGGTGATCAGGAAAGCCTGTCTTTTTGGGGCCTGAGGTAGTGAAGTCGTGTCCCATATAAGGTCAATCCCATCGCTTTCTGTTGGGCCTGCAGTTGATCACATTGGTAGTGCCTGAGCTCCCCGAAGTGCAACCTCCTGACTCCAGTTTAGTGAGGTTTCGCGTTATGAATAGCAGCGGAAGGGATTGAAGCTCCCGTGAACCTGATGGAAGTTGGCAGTATGTTCATTATCCCTTGGGGTGTCCTAACTTGTCTTGACATGGTTAAGCATCTTAGATGTCTTAGGGAAGTGTGAGTGATGGTGTGGAGTGGGCAGCTGGACAGGACATTTTGGGAAACTGGGGGAAAGTTGCAGATTGGAGGCTTCCCAAAGTGATGGCTGTTGTGCGGAGCAGGGGGAGATTTGGGTCCCATTTAGGAAGGGCATGCAGGGATGCCTGGGTGGCTCAGCGGTTTAGCGCCTGCCTTCGGCCCAGGGTGTCATCCTGGAGTCCCAGGATGGAGTCCCACTTCAGGCTCCCTGCGTGGAGCCTGCTTCTCCCTCTGCCTATGCCTATGCCTCTGCCTGTCTCTGTCTCTGTCTCTTTGTCTCTCATGAATAAATAAATAAAATCTTAAAAAAAAAAAAAGGAAGGGAATGCAGAGAATATTAGCAGTGCTATTAGTAGGTCACCGGGTCCTACTAAACTGTGCTGAAGAGTGGTTCTATTGTTCAGCGTGAGTTTTTATAGTTGCTGGGCATTGCGAACACAGGTGAAGGTAGAGAGAATGATCTGGCAGTCAGATGGGCAAGCCTTCCACAGGGTGATGGATGGAACAAGGGATAGCAGAGGACAACTGGGAGTTTTGGGTTTTTTTTTTGTTTTTGTTTTTGTCTGTCTGTTTTAAGGCGGCTCCATGCACTTGTGGAGCCCAAAATGAGACTTGACCTCTGGACTCTGAGATCAAGAGTCAAATGCTGAACCTACGAGTGTTTGGGAAACAGGGGCTACTATCTTACCAGTTTTTTTTTTTTAATTTTTATTTATTTATGATAGTCACACAGAGAGAGAGAGAGAGGCAGAGACACAGGCAGAGGGAGAAGCAGGCTCCACGCACCGGGACCCCGACGCGGGACTCGATCCCGGGTCTCCAGGATCGCGCCCTGGGCCAAAGGCAGGCGCTAAACCACTGCGCCACCCAGGGATCCCTATCTTACCAGTTTTGTAGGGCTTCAGCAGAATTTTGGGATCAGCTTTTACCATATTTGGGGTCTTTCAAAGTCTTGCTGCTGGATAAGGTCTGGGCAGATGTGATCATTGCTGCTTCACTGTGCCTGGCAGGGAGACCTTTAGTGCTGGGGTCTTCACAACGGTTCAGTGGACAGTGGTGGGTTCTGATGGTTGAGGGACAGCATGGGCAGCACAGAAGTAGAAGAGGGTCTGTGAGTATCCTAAGTTGACATTTGCTTGTGAGTGCCTGTCATTGAAGGGAGGATTACAGGCAGGTTGAGGAGGGCTTCTCAGCAGCATTGAGGCTTTCCCTCAGTTGGGATCCATGAGAGTCCTGGGGTGGTAGTGGAGCCATCAAACATCCTTTGGATGACCTGTGACGAGTACAAGAGTGAGTGGTGGGAGAATCGTGTGGTGTGGGGGCAGGAAGGCGTGGGCGTTCATCTGTGGGGTCTGAAGACAGGAGAGAGGTACAGTCTACAGAATCATGTGCACATGGAGAGGAGGTGTGAGCCAAGGACCTCAGGGTCCTGATATTGAGGACTCTCTGGTAAAGCAGGGCCCATACCTGGCTGTCTCGGGGCATAATCTGGGAGCCTTCATTTGGAATATCGTGACAGGGAGATGGGACCTTGCAGGCCACACCCAGAGCTTAGATTGCACCTACATGTCCTGTGTCTGTTACTACTGAGGACTGAACAGTGATTGACGGGAAGGCGAGAGGAGTGCAGCATTAGTGGCACCAGGACCTGGCATTTATCCCACGGTGGGGAGCTGAGGTGGCAGGGGAGACTGGGGTGCTTTGGGGGGGGGTTGGATTGTGGGTTCTCAGAGAGAGAGAGAGAATGTTCATGGTTCCATCTGTCGCTGTCCTGACAGGGTGGCGTGACCTTTGAGGACATTGCCGTGTACTTCTCCTGGAAGGAGTGGAGACTTCTGGATGAGGCTCAGAGACGGCTGTACCACCATGTGATGCTGGAGAACTTTACACTTATATCCTCACTGGGTAAGGCCTTCACCGTCCTCATTCACCTGGAGTAATAGACTCTGTATTCCACATCCCCCTCCTCTCTTTTCCAGGGGATGGTTTGTCCTTCTCATGTGTGGCCTGTGGGCACTGCTTGCTTCCCCAGCTTTCTGGGTAGTTGCTTTTGTGGCTAGTTCTGAGTTGTTGGTGTGCCCTTTCCTCTGCCCTGCAGTCCCCGTGCCCTGTGTACTGAACCCTGAGGGTGACATTGGAGGTCAGTAGTCCTGCAGGGAGGCTGATTAATTGCACCTGGCTTGCCCTCTGCCCGGCTGGGTACATGTGTTCAGATCCGTGCCATTTCTGTGGCCCGGCTTTTGATGCCTTGCTTTAGGCGTCATTTCCTTGTGCCTGCCTGTGCCTGAAACTGCAGGCATTGGCATTTTTATGTCTTAAGTGGACCATGGGCTACTTCTCAAGAGTGTCCTCTATGGTTCTTTCTGTGGCGTTTACATCTCTTCTACTCACCGCCTTCCCTTGAGCTTTAAGATATTGTTGACAGATAAGATTATATCAGTGAAATTACATTATATGATAATTTTTGATATACCTTATAAGATTGGTGTAGTTTTTTTTAGATTTATGTATTTGAGAGAATGAGAGGGAAAAAGTGTGTGTACTTGCACGTGCAAGCAGAGAGTAAAGGAAAGGAAGAGAGAAGCCTAAGCTGACTCAGTGCTGAGAACGGAGCCTATGGTGGGGCTCGATATGAGGACCCTGATATCACTACCTGTGCAGAAACCAAGAAATTGGATGCTTAAACCACTGCACTACTTTATGAAATTATTAACAAAATGAGGGATGCCTGGGTGACTCAGTAGTTGAGTGTTGTCCTTTGGCCCAGGGATTGGCAAGTTTACTTCTTAAATGGACCATGGGCTACTTCTCAAGTCTGTCCTATATAGATCTTTTTATAGTGTTCACATCTCTTTTTCTACCTGCCTGCCATGAGCTTTTTGGAGATATTAACTCGTGAAATTATAGTATAGAATGATTTAATACATTATGAAAATGTTTTTTAAGTTTATTTTTGTATTTGAGAGTGAGAAAATGTGAGGCAGTGGGGGACACCTGAGGGAGATAGAAACTCAGCTGAGCACAGAGCCTCAGCAGGGTTTGATCTCTCAACCCAGACGTCAGTTCCGAACCAACCAAGAGCTGGACGTTAAATTGACTAGGCCAGGATGCCTGGGTGGCTCAGCGGTTGAGTATCTATCTTTGACTCGGGGCATGATACTGGGGTGGGATGGAGTCCCTCATCGGGTTCCCAGTGAGGAGCCTGCTTCTCCCTCTGCCTATGTCTCTGCCTGTCTCTCTGTCTCTCATGAGTAAATAAATAAAATCTTAAAACAAAAAATGACTAGGCCCTTCAGGTGCCCCAATATTATGAAATTATTAACAAAATGAACCTAATCAACACAGCATCAATTGACATAATTACATTTTTGTCCCGGTGGTTTGAAAGGTTAATATATCTACCCTTATAGCAAATTTCAAGTGTACAGTACAATATTAGCAACTATAGTCAAAGTGCTGTATATGAGATCCTCAGAACTTATCTTGTAAATGAAAGGGTGTACCCCCTTCTGACATCTCCCCATTTCCCTCAGTCTACAGCTTCTGGCATTCTGCTTCCTATTTCTAGGAATTTAACTTATTTCTTTTCTTGATGAATATCCATATAAGTGGATTGTTAGCCTTTGTCCATATACAGAATTTGTATTTTGTTGTGTAGCTTAGTTGACCTAGCATAATGTTTTCCAGATTTATGTTTTACGGCAAGTGGCACTGTTGCCTTCTTTTTTATGGCTGAATATTCCTGTACACTCTTTTTTTTAAGATTATTTATTTATTTATTCATGAGACACACAGAGAGAAAGACGGGCAGAGACACAGGCAGAGGGAGAAGCAGGCTCCATGCATGGAGCCCGACACAGGGCTCGATCCCAGTTCTCCAGGATCACGCCCTGGGTTGAAAGCAGCGCTAAACCACTGAGCCACCCAGGCTGCCCCTGTACACTCTTTTATGGATGAGTATTCCTGCCCTGTATGTGCTAAATGTTCTTTGTCACTTATTTTATTTATTTGTTTAGATAGTATTTATTTATTTGTAGACTCCATGCCCAATGTGGGTCTTGAACTTAAGCACCTTGAGAGCAAGAGTTGGATGCTCTACAGACTGTCATCCAGGTGCACCATGTTTGTCACTATAAATACTCACACATGCTTGGTCATGTTTCCCTATATTGGTTATGTGAACAATACTGCAGTGGATTTTCATATTCATATACTTTCTGGAGATACTGATTTTGTTTCCTTGGGATACATACCTAGAAATGGCAATAATGGACTATATATAGTTGGAATTTAAATTTTTGTGGGTTGGGACCCCTGGGTGGCTCAGCGGTTTGGCGCCTGCCTTAGGCTTGGGGCGTGATCCTGGAGACCCAGGATCGAGTCCCGCGTCAGGCTCCCTGCATGGAGCCTGCTTCTCTCTCTCTGCCTCTCTCATGAATAAATAAATAAAATCTTTAAAAAATAATAATAATAATAAATTTTTGTGGATCTCCCTAATACTTTCCTTTTTTTTTTAATTTATTTATGATAATCAGAAAGAGAGAGAGAGAGAGAGAGAGAGAGAGGCAGAGACACAGGCAGAGGGAGAAGCAGGCTCCATGCACCGGGAGCCCGATGTGGGATTCGATCCCGGGTCTCCAGGATCGTGCCCTGGGCCAAAGGCAGGCGCCAAACCGCTGCGCCACCCAGGGATCCCTCCCTAATACTTTCCATAATGACTTCCCTATTTACATTCTAGGTGGCAGTATTCAGTGTTTTTTTTTTTTTCTGCACATCCTGACCAATATATTACCTCTTGTCTTTTTGGTAATAGTAATTGAACCATATAGAAGGTGATATCTTGTGGTTCAGTTTTCATTTCACTGATTTTTCCTGATTGTTAGCAAGTGTTACTCGCTTGTACATCCTTTTCACTCTCTTCTGTGTTTCTTTGGCTCTGCTGCAACTTTTAATTTGATATAGTCGTACTTGTTATTTTTTGCTTTTGTCATGTATGCTTTAGATGTCATATTCAAAAATTCATTGGTAGGGGATCCCTGGGTGTCGCAGCGGTTTGGCGCCTGCCTTTGGCTCAGGGCACGATCCTGGAGACCCGGGATCGAATCCCACATCGGGCTCCCGGTGCATGGAGCCTGCTTCTCCCTCTGCCTGTGTCTCTGCCTCTCTCTCTCTTTCTCTTTTTTTTTTAAGATTACTTTTTTTTTAAATTTTCTTTATTTATTTATGATAGTCACACACACATGAGAGAGAGAGAGGCAGAGACACAGGCAGAGGGAGAAGCAGGCTCCATGCACCGGGAGCCCGACGTGGGACTCGACCCCGGGTCTCCAGGATCGCGCCCCGGGCCAAAGGCAGGCGCCAAACCGCTGCGCCACCCAGGGATCCCTCTCTCTCTCTTTCTCTCTCTCTCTCTCTCTCTCTGTGACTATCATAAATAAATAATAAAAAGAAATTAAAAAAAATTCATTGGTAGGAATAAGGTTAAGGAGGCTTTTTTCCTATGTTTTTCTAGGAAATTTAAATTTAGGGCTTGAGATCATATGTCTAAGTCTTTAATCAGTTTTAAGTTCATTTCCTTGAGTAAGATGGGGATCCAGTTACATTGTGTCTTAATTTGGATATTCAGATTTCACAAAAGTATTAAAAGAGATTCTTCTTTCCCCAGTATAGATTCTTGGCCTAATTGTCAAGATTACTTGTCTGTATATATATTGCTTTACTTCTGGGCTCTTTATTCAGTTTTACTGGTCTGTTTTTATGCCAGCACACTAATATTTTGAAAAGAATAGCTTTGTAATATAGTTCGAAATCAGAAGTGTGCTGCGTTCAGCTTGATCCTGTTTTTCAAATTGCTTTGGCTTCAGATATTAGTTATCTGGATGGCCAAAGATGCCAGTGTTCTCCTTGGAGCAGGCAGTAGGATCCTCTGCTGAGCAGGGACTGTGGTAGCACCTGTGCTATGGCTGATGGAGATAGCCTCAGACTGATTTCTTATCCATCCCCGCATGTCTATGCTCATACAGTCTCCAGCCATCTTTTCTGTGTGCTTATGCCCTCTTTTATGCTCCACTGTGTTCTAGTCAGTGTTATGGGCTCTTGAGCTGTCTGAGGTTAATGTCATTCATAGATGGCTGTTGAATTGATTTTTGTTGGGGTAAAGGATGGTTTCTGCTTTTCCACCATCCTGCTGACATCAATCGTGTAGGGTGTTTTTCTTTCTTGTGTCCTGAGTGGCTCTAGGACAGTCTTAGTGGTTCAGTTGGCCTGTTTATCTACAGTATTTGTATTGCCTGGGACCCTGTGTTGCTCAACTAGGGCTTATAGGGAAGAGGCCTTTGTGTAACATGGTATGGACATGCTTCTCACATGACCAGGTGGCCTAAGGGGAACCTGTTTCTGGTGAATAGAGCTGGAGAAGGTACGATATTAGGATTGTGTTTAGATCATACTGGGCACCTTTTGGTTTTTTTGACCAGAGTTTGGTGCTGTTGCCAATGGCCACACTTCATTTCTTTCTTTCCTTCCTTGCTGTTGACAATCTGTGGACTTCTCGGTTCTACTCCCTGGTAATTCCATGATGTCCAATGGAAGGGTTGTTGATCCTCCTCAGGCCTCCACATCTCACCCATTTCTCTCACTGCTATTTCTGTGTGGTTCAACATTCACCTCTGAAAATTTTGCCATGACATATTCATATGCCCGTAAGATGACCTTGAACGAAAGCAAATTTCTTGTAATTATATATTCCTACAGCCTCTATTCAGCCAAATGGCAGCAGCAGCAATGGTCCTACACAAACCTTTGGGCAGAGAACAAGTTGCAGACCCTTTGTTCCTTGTGTCATACCCTAGTTTTTTTATCTTTCTAGTGTGTTCTCCATGATACTTTGACCAGTTGGGCCCAGGAATGTACAGCAACCTCTCATTCAAACAAATTCCATCTCATTTGTCTGTAAAAACAGACTGTACAGTCAGTCATGCCTAGATGAGTGGGCTTACCTCTTCGCTTTAGTTAACACATGTTTCAGGACACCTGGGTGGCTCAGCGGTTCAGCGGCTACCTTTGGCTCAGGGCATGATCTGCGGTCCTGGGATCGAGTCCCTCATCGGGCTTCCTGCGTGGAGCCTACTTCTCCCTCTGCCTGTGTCTCTCATAAATAAATGAATGAATGAATGAATGAATGAATGAATGAATGAATGAATGAATGAATAAATAAATAAATAAATAAATAAATAAATCCTTAAAACAAAACAAAAAAACACATGTTTCACCAGCCTTTCTTTGCGTTCAGGTTGCTGCTGTGGAGCAGAGGCTGTGCAGGCACCCATTGAACAGAGTGCTTCTGGAGGTGTGTCACAGACCAGGACGCCCAGGGTAGCTCTGACTTCCCAGAAGACCCACCCCTGTGAGATGTGTGGTCCAGTCTTGAGAGACATTTTCCATTTGGCTGAGCAGCAGGGAAAAGAAAACAGCCAGAAACTGTTGAGGTGCGGAGCATGTGGGAAACGATTTTATTTCAGTATAAAGTTTGAACAGCAGCAGCACGTGGGAGAAACACTATGCAGAAACGATGGGGCCTGTGACGTGAAGAGCTGCAGAATCCATGATTTAGGAAAGCCCTTTACCTGTAGGGAAGTTCGGAAGGACTTCCTGTCTGGCTCGAGACATCTGCGGCAAGAGGCCACTGTGAGTGGGGAGAAGCCAAACACTATCACACAGTGCAGGGCAACTTTACAAAGGAGAAAAAGTCATTATCCTTGGGGAGAATGCAAGAACGCCTTTAGTCCCAAACATCCCCATGTTCAGGACCAGGGTGTCCACCCTGGAAGACAGTGCTTTGTGTGTAGTGAATGTGGGAAAACATTCAGGTACAAATCGTTATTTGCTATACACCAGAGATCTCATACTGGAGAAAGATATCATGAGTTTGGCAAATATGGAAAATACTCTAGGCAAAGATCAACCCTGAGTGAACATGGAAAGACTCACAGTGGATCCAGGCAATACACGTGTAGCAAATGTGGGAAATCCTTAGGTCCCAAAACTGTCCTCATTCATCCCCAGAGATGGCATCATGGAGTGAAGAGTTATGTGTGCAGTGAATGTGCAAAATCTTATAGCTGTAGCTCAGTGTCGATTACTCATAGAGTTCAACCTGGAGAAAGGTTTTATAAGTGTCATGCCTGTGGAAAATCTTTTCCCTCTATGTCTGCCCTCTGTTATCATCGGAGATCTCACACAGGGGAAAGACCTTTTGAGTGCAGTGATTGTGGAAAGTGTTTTACTGCTCGTTCTGTCCTCCATTCTCACCAGAGGGTTCACACTGGAGAAAGGCCTTATGAGTGCAATGAATGTGGCAAGTCCTTTTTGCGAAGAAATAGCCTCAATGTACACATAAAGGTTCACTCAAGTGAAAGGCCTTATAAGTGTAACGAATGTGGGAAATCTTTGAAGTGTAAGTCAGCATTCATCAAACACCAGAGAATTCACACAGGAGAAAGGCCTTTTGAGTGCAGAGAATGTGGCAAGTCCTTTCTCCGAAAAAATACTCTCAATGTACACATAAAGGTTCACTCAGGTGAAAGGCCTTATAAGTGCAATGAATGTGGGAAATCATTTAAGTTTAAGTCAACATTCATTAAACACCAGAGAATTCACACAGGAGAGAGGCCTTATGAGTGCAATGAATGTGGGAAATCTTTTATATCTAGGACTGACCTGCGTTATCATCAAAGAATTCACACTGGAGAAAGGCCTTATGCGTGCAGTGAATGTGGCAAGTCTTTTGTCCGACAAAATATCCTCAAAGTACACAGAAAGGTTCACTCAGGTGAAAGGCCTTATAAGTGTAATGAATGTGGGAAATCTTTGAAGTGTAAGTCATCGTTGATTAAACACCAGAGAATTCACACAGGAGAAAGGCCTTATGAGTGCAGTGAATGCGGGAAGTCTTTTATTACTAGTTCCGTCCTTCATTCTCATCAGAGAGTTCACACTGGAGAAAGGCCTTATGAGTGCAGTGAATGTGGGAAAACTTTTACCACTAGTTCTGTCCTCCGTGATCACCAGAGACTTCATACTGGAGAAAGGCCTTATGAGTGTAGTAAATGTGGGAAAACTTTTACCACAAGTTCTGCCCTCCATTATCATCACAGAGTTCACACTGGAGAAAGGCCTTATGAGTGCAGTGAATGTGGCAAGTCTTTTGTCCGAAGAAATAGCCTGAGTGTACACCTAAAGGTTCACTCAGGTGAAAAACCTTATAAATGTAATGAATGTGGGAAATCATTGAAGTGTAAGTCAACATTCATTCAACACCAGAGAATTCACACAGGAGAACGGCCTTATGAATGCAGTGAATGTGGGAAATCTTTTTCTGCTACTTCTGTCCTTCGTTCTCACCAGAGAGTTCACACGGGAGAAAGGCCTTATGAGTGCAATGAATGTCAAAAATCTTTTACCTCTAGTTCTGCCCTCCGTTCTCACCAAAGAGTACACACAGGAGAAAGACCTTATAAGTGCAATGACTGTGGCAAGTTCTTTCTCCACAGAAATAGCCTCAATGTACATATTAAGGTTCACTCAGGTGAAAGGCCTTATAAATGTAATGAATGTGGCAAATCTTTGAACTATAAGTCGACGTTCATCCAACACCAGAGAATTCACACAGGAGAAAAGCCTTATCTGTGCAATGAATGTGGGAAGTCTTTTAGTCATAGCTGTGCCCTCCGGTATCATCGTCAAAGTCACCTTGGAATAAGTCCTTATGACTGTAGTGAATGTGGGAAATCTTTTACCACTAGTTCTGTCCTCCGTGACCACCAGAGACTTCACACCGGAGAAAGGCCCTATGAGTGCAGTGAATGTGGGAAATCTTTTACCGCTCGCTCTGTCCTCCGTTCTCACCAGAGAGTTCACTCTCGGGAAAGGCCTTATGAATGCAGTGAATGTGGCAAGTCCTTTGTCAGAAGAAATAGCCTCAATGTACACATAAAGGTTCACTCAGGTGAAAAGCCTTATAAGTGTAATGAATGTGGGAAATCTTGGAAGTGCAAGTCAACATTCATAAAACACCAGAGAATTCACACAGGGGAAAAGTCTTTCACTTGCAGTGAATGTGGGAAATCTTTTATTAGTTACGGTGCTCTTGGCCATCATCACAGAGTTCACAGTGGTGACAGGCCTTAGGGGTCCTGGTATTGTGGGGAATCTTTCAGCTAAATCTTCAGTCTCCTTCAACATGAGGAAGTCCGTAGTAAATAAAGTCCTCGTGGGTGATATTACGAACCAAATGTTTATGTTCACTAAAATTGATTTGTTGAATCCCTGTCCTCTAATGCAATAGGATTAGCATGTAATGTCTTGGGAGATAATTTAAAGAGATAGTTTCATAAAAATCTGAATTCACCCTGGAGTGAAGCCTCATAAGTAGGTGAATAACAAAATTCCTTTAGCCGGTTATTTGTATTCATTCCCCCACTTGAGAGTTCACACTGCAGAAAGACTTAAAATAGCATAGAAACTGATATTTCCTTGCTTAGTATCTCTGGAGGAGAACCTTTATGAGTCCATCACCTTCTTGAATTCAGCTTTGTTTACCTGAATGTCCACAGTGAATTGACTGTCCGTAAGTTCTAGCCTTTTGGGAAAAATTCAGAATGTGCATATTGCGTTCTGATATGTTTGAAGTTATTGTTAGAAGTCACTGTTATATTCTATGGCAGAAGTCATTTTACCTCTGCCACCAGGATGATCCTGATAATATACATTAGTCACTACCCAATATGCTTAACAGTGCTGACGTCTTTGTGTTGTCATTTGCTGATGGAAATTATGGGTAATTGGACCTCTTCATTTCCTTCTTTTTTTTTTTTTAAGATTTATTTATTTATTTATTCAGAGAGAGAGAGAGGCAGAGACACAGGCAGAGGAAGAAGCAGGCTCCATGCAGGAAACCCGACGTGGGACTCGATCCCAGGTCTCCAGGATCACATCCCAGGCTGCAGGCAGCACTAAACCGCTGCGCCACCGGGGCTGCCCTCTTCGTTTCCTTCTAATTTTGGTCATGCATGTGACCTAGTTTTGATTATCAGTACCTAATCTGTGTCCTGGGTGGTTACTTGCACAGGAAGACTAAATCCCTTAGGGACTTTGTTGGTCTTTAATGCTGTGGATTAAAGCATTAATGAAGCTTCCAAGTCAGTAATAGAGGAATTGGATGCCACTTGTTGCTCTGGTTTATGCATTAATAGGTCTTTTTATTTAATTACCTTTAATTGTAGGTGTTGTATCCATTCTTTTTTTTTTTTTTTAAGATTTTATTTATTCATGAGAGATTCAGAGAGAGAGGCAGAGACACAGGCAGAGGGAGAAACAGGCTCCATGGAGGGAGCCAGATGCGGGACTCGATCCTGGGTCTCCAGAATCACACCCTGGGCCGAAAGTAATGCTAGACCGCTGAGCCACTGGGGCTGCCCATTTGTATCCATTTTAAGGAGTGGTTGGAAAGCAGAGTTGGGCTCTGCTGGCACTTAGGAGTGAACAGATTTCATTGCATCACAAATTTATTGTGCCTCAGAGAGGAAAATACCTACATATGTACATCTTTACTGTTCTCCATCCTGGGGAATTTGCATTAACTCTAACAACCTATCTGATGGGCTAAATGTGCACCCACAATTCCTATTTTGAAGTTGTAACCTGCCAGTACCACACAATGTGAGTATAGTTATACATGGCATCTTAAAAAAGATCATGAAGTTGAAATGGGTTATTAGGATGGACTTTTAAGCAGTCTAGCTGGTTTCATGATAAGAGATGAGGATATGGGTGCACATGGATGACCATCTGAAGACAGGGAATCCCCATCTACCAGCTAAGGAGAGGCCTTAGAAGAAACTAACCTTGCTGATGACACTTTATGTCCAATTTCTGGACTCCAGATTTGTGGGAAAATAAATTTCTCTTGTCTAATCACCCAGAGTGTGGTACTGTGTTACATCAATTTTATTTAATACAGCCTCCTAGGGGCCACATCTGGGTTTTGTGTTCTAGATGCCAGGAAGTTTTGCGTGTTCACGGGTCACCCTGAAGAGGGAGCAGCTGAGACCATCTCCAGTACTTGTAGAGACCATGTGAATATTTTGCTTGTCCACAGCAGATACCACATAGTGCCCTGCACTGTTGAGTGGAGTCTCTAACTCAGATTCTTCAGAGGATCCATGTGACCTTTGTACAGTATTCACTTGTAACACCACAGAGGCAGGGAAACTCTAATTGGTAATCTAAATGATTGGGTAATTAGGGAGTAGAGGAGTCATCAGACCCATTTATGGAATGTATCTATTATAAAACTGTATCACAGATATAGTGACTGGCTGGGCAGGATCAGTGTGCACAGAAATTCTTTAATTTCAGACACAGGTATCCTGTGTAACAGAGGTCATTGTCATAAAATTATCCAGAAGTCTCTGAATTATATCCTCTCTCTGGTGCTTACATGTCAAGGCTGTTGTGTTGCAGGCCAGGAAAGGATAAAAACAGGAGATTTAAAAAAAAAAAAAAAACAAAAAAACAGGAGATTTCATAGGCTAGGGATGTAGTTTTGTAACCCTGCCTTGCCAGCATTCTTACAGTATCCTATACAACTATGGCAGACACCTGTTCTGAAACATCCATCTCCCAGGTTTTCTCCCAGATACTCCCTGTCATCTAGGGCTGTAAAAGCAGGTCTTAACTGCCAGTGGTGGTGTGGAGTTCTACTTCTGTTAAGATTGCCAAAGGTTTGCTTCTGTCCTGACGTTCTTAAATAAACCATTCCTCCTCAAGCTGGAGATCTCACCCTCTTTCTTTTTTGTCTTTTAGGATTTTATTAGAGTACAAATTGGGGTAGGGGCAGAGGGAGAAGCAGTTTGCCCACTGAGTAGGGAGCCTGATGTGGGGCTCCATTCCAGGACTCTGAGATGACGACCTGAGCTGAAAGCAGATGCTTAACCGACTGAGCAACCCAAGTGCCCTCACACCCTTTTTCTTTGGTCATTCAGCTCTGACGTTTCACATATATGTCCCTTTTAGTCAACAGTACTGTTTTCTTCAGATTTACACCACTACTGATCTATTTAATTAGAGCATTTGGTACACTTGGCTTATTTCCAGCTTTTGACTTCCACAAACAAACTCCTCTATATGTTTTCATTATAATTCCTTATGCAGATAGAGGGTTCATTTCTCTTATGTTAAATCTCAAAGTGCAATGCCAAAGGCAGAGAGAGGTAGGCCGGTGTTAACATTTTCATGAAAGAGCCAAAATGGGATCTAAGCTGTTCACTATTGCATTCCCACCAGGCATGTATGAGAGTTCCAGTATCTCCAGCCCCTGCCAATACTTGATAGTGCCAGTCTTTAAGGTCAGCTCTTTTAATACATGTGGTGTAGTGCTATGTTGTAATTGCATTTCCTAGGGATTTCTGATTTTTTTTCATGTGTTTACCTTTACAAGCCCAGGCAGACAGCAGATTTGGGGACTGTGACCTGACTGGAGGTGTCCAGGAGCCTCACAGGCAGGAGACATTAATCCTGACAGGCTGGAGGGGAGGGACCTGCCTGAACACCCTGAAGGGTGACTGTCAGTCAGGCTGGTCTCACATTAGTAAAGACAAGGTTGCTGTGCCCACCTGACAGAGTTGTTTCCTCCCATCCCATCCAGTACACAGGGAAGGATTTCTCACCGCAGAGCGCTAGCCTCCAAGTGATTTAATTCCTTCTCTTTCTGTAACAGCTGAGGACTAGTCCCCAAAGGAAACTACGTTCTGTACATCTCACCACTGCTCTGGGCTTTGTTTCCCGTCAGCTGTCTCAGGGGAAGTCTGCTGGGCCTGGGAAGGGCAGGCGCTGGGGTCACATCCCGCCTCCCCCTGACCTGGAAGGACTGGGAGCAGGAGGGTGTGGGAGGAAGTGAAGCCTATCTTAGAATAGATCTGGGGTCAGTGTTCTTTTTTTTTTAATTTTTTTTTTTTTTTTTAGATTTTATTTATTAATGAGAGACACACACACGGAGAGAGGGAGAGAGACAGAGACACAGGCAGAGGGAGAAGCAGGCTCCATGCAGGGATCCCTGATGTGGGACCACACCCCAGGCTGTCGGCGCTAAACCGCTGCGCCCCTGGGGCTGCCCTGGGGTCAGTGTTGGTGCGGTTTTTGTTTGTTACCTCCAGGTGGTGACTTTGCCAGTTGGTTTGAACTATCCCTTTTGACCTTGTGCCTGTTTTGATCCACTTTCTGGCCTCCATGCTAAGCAGCACCCTCTCCACCTGAGGGTTCCCATGTCAGAAAGATCCTTTGCAGTTGCTGACTGGGGGATACACAGGAAGGTCCGGTTTCCTGGTTCAACATGAATCTGCCACCTGGGTTCCGAGAGATATCGGCTCCTCTACATTGTCAGCTTAGTGGCCAAAACAGGGGACCCTCACCTATAGTGCACTACTGGGATTCTAGAAGTCTGGCACTGACTTCTACACTTTTACTGGCTGTGCATAATAGTGGAGGACAGGAAGACAGCCAGTGTAAATCTCTTTAAGGCTGCCTTTAAACGAACAAGGGGTGGTGGAAAGGGAGGTGGAGGGGGGTGTGGGGGTGGGGGTGACTGGGTGTCGGGCACTGAGGGGGGCACTTGATGGGATGAGCTCTGGGTGTTATGCTATATGTTGGAAAATTGAACTCCAATAAAATAAATAAATAAGTAAAGTTAGGGTATGTAGGCATAAAAAAAAAAAGGCTGCCCTTAATGCCTGAGGGCTTTAATGTCAGTGGCTTAAAAGCAATCTATTTCACCTACTAGCATTTTTATTTTTGAAAAACAAAAAGAAAAAAAAAGAAAAACAAAAACAAAAATAGAGAAAGAGGGAAAGGAAGGAAAGGAAAAAAAGGAAGGAAGGAAAGAAAGAGGAGAGAAGGAAGGCCAGGATGGGTACAGCCCATCTTGCAAGGAAGAGGGTACCCAGAATAAGTGCTTTAATATGGGAACCTGGAGAGGCCTTTTATTCTATGGACCCTTGCATGAGCATGATGTCATCTTGGGGAGTCAGTGAGAAAGGGGCTGAGCACGTGGAGATTGGGATGCGGTCTCCTGAGGACCTCAGTACCAGGCAGAAGGGTAGGGGTGGCACAGGGACAGAGGAGACACCTGGAGGGAGTTAGGACCCTGGGTAGTAGATTTAGGAAGGACTCTCTGGGCTGAGTCCCCATACTTCCTCTGGAGCCTAAGCTCCCACCACTGATACTTATGGCAATGCCCTCCCAGTGTTGACCTGGTAGATCCCTCAGGGACACAGCACAGTCCACAGGTGATCCTCCATTCCTCTTACATGCACCATCATGACTGCTCTGGCACCTCCTGGCGGTGTTGGAGTATATATGTCTGGACTGAACTCAGCAGATCAGGTTGCCCACGATTATCTTAAAGGAATAAAACCTCAGGAGCAGGTTTGTCAACAAATTCGGACTTTGTTGTACTGTCAGGGCACAGGGGTGCAAGAGCACCTAACCTGAGGGTCCCAGACAAACTAGGTTTGGCCACTGCCTGGTGACAAAATCCAAAGACAGGAAGAAGTGGTGATGAAACAGGCATCAGGGTCTTCCATCTGAGTCAGGGGACAAGCCGGAAAGAAGAACCCAACTGGAAGATTTGAGGTCAAAATGGGGACAGCCAAGGTCCTCTTTCAGTACTAGGAAAATCAGTATGTATGGGTGAAGTCACCTCGGGCCCTTGGGTGACCTCGTAATCATAAGGTTAAAGAAGCACCATTAGCCCATGTGATTGGTTGTTTCTCTGTCTACAGACCATGCATTCTCTCCTAGAAAGAGCTGAGTACTCTGCATGCCACAAAACAAACCAGATCCCCTTGCACAACCTCCCAGCACTGTGATAACATCTATAGCTAGCACTGTGGAGTCTGCATGTTGTCAAGAAGTGTTAAGTACTGCTGTGCTCCATTTACTGGCTAACTGACCCAACTCCTCTAAAAACCTCTTCATGAGGCAGAGACTTTGGAGTTTTTCTTTGTACAGTGGTCTGCCTTCTTTCCACACGGCCAGCCTCCTCATTAAAGCTCCTGTATCACAAAAAAAAAAAAAAAAAAAGCTCCTGTATCTTTCCAGTCAGCACCTGTCTCTTGATTATTGGCTTTATAGTGATGTGCAGCCAAACTTGGGTTTTGCTAACAACATATTTGAACACAGAGCCCCACAGAAACATTGCAATCTTTCCATGTGCCAAAGCAATTTGAAAAGGATACCATACTGGGATGCTGGAGTGGCTCAGTGTAAAGGCTCAGTATCTGCCTTTAGCTCAGGGTGTAATCCTGGAGTTCTGGGATAGTGTCCCGCATCGGACTCTCTGCATGGAGCCTGCTTCTCTCTCTGCCTATGTCTCTGCCTCTCTCTGTGTCTCTCATGAATAAATAAAATCTTAAAAAAAAATAAAAGGATACCATACTGCTGATAATTGTTTTTCTGCATTGAGGTAGTTGATATGAAATGTCAGGGTGAGGGATCACACAGTCAAGAAAGAATTCTTGACTCAGGAAAGGATTTGGTGAGAAAAAAGTGATTGATTAAAGCATGGTGACAGGATCCATGGTCAGAAAGAGCTGCACTGTGACTGATTATATAATTTTCAGTTGGGACTGGGGTAGGGAAAATGTTAGCCTGTAAAGTATTTTAGAAGCAAGGTTTCCAGGACCTTGAGAGGTAGCTGTTGTTAGGTCAAGGTCATTTGCTGCTGTCTACTAAAATCTTAGTACTGAGAGCCCCTTCAAATGTAGATTAGTGGGCTCTTTGTTTAGAGAACGATTGCTCTTGAGGGAATAGGTAGAAGTAAAGGAAGTTTCCAAAGGGATATTCATATGGTAAAGAAGATCTACCGGATACTGGCATTTGGGCTAAAATTCTCTTTTTCCTTTAGGAAAGTGCTAACAAATAAAA